TACAGTGTATATTGAACAGGAGAGATTGCCTGTGTAGCGACCACTGGACAAGTACCTCTGACTGACAGTCCGGCCAAACGGAGAATGTACTTGAAAGCAAAAAAAGTACAATAGTGATGAGCAAAATTCATCTGCAATGGTGAAAGAGAATCGATCCTACAGCAAACCTCACTGGCAAAGACAGAGATCGATAAGCTTATGAGTTATGTTCAAGAACTCCCCGATTTCAGCCATTACAACAAGAACCTCGGACTCTGTCACTTAACTCCTGCCAGTGATAAAACTCTGCGACTACAATGTACTCGTAGTAGTAGTAGTAGTAGTAGTAGTAGTAGTAGTAGTAGTAGTAGTAGTAGTAGTAGTAGTATGGTCCGCTGATGACGGATTTTCCACGATGGTGTTGATGACCAATTTGACACTTGTGAAATCTGTTGGACTGAGGTCATTGAACGATGGCTGCAAGCCGCGTGCTCGGCTCAAGTTCTCCATGACAATGGTGAAATTTATGGCCACCGCCAAACACTTTGGCGCTCGTATCTTGCAATCTTCACTCTCCGAGAACTACTGTACTAACAGGAAGTGAGGAATCTTTTCTTCTGGAAAGTGGTTTTCTCCAGAACGCTGCGGTGTAGCTGCTACTAAAGCAAAGTACTCCTGCATTTCCGGTTTCGAAGGGAACTGTAGCAGAAAACAACACTGCATCAGCAGCTACAATGCAAACCTGTGTATGTGGGTGGGTGGGCTCTCTCTCTCTCTCTCTGTATCAGGTTCCCACTGACCCTCTATCTATCTCTATCCAATCAGTCTACCAAGGGATCAAACACATTCTCTTTGCCCTGTATGGCTGTAGCAACGCAACACCAGGCCTTACTGCTGGTAAGTACAATGACTATGTAACATCGCCACCAACACTTCCCTGTGCAGGACTCTACCGACCCCATGCCCAGCATACAACTAATCATGCTCTGCAGGACACGCTATTGTCGTACTGACAGCAGATCGCGACAGTGTCACAGTATGCGCAGCAAGGACATTTCCTCTTCCGCTTCCTTTGCAAGAACAACCCATCATTCCGTGCTGTCTTTCCAACTTTTCAGTTGGCGGAAGACTATTGCGTTGATAATCCAATGCCTATTTCTCCATACCCAACCCCCCCCCCCCCCCCCCGGCTTAACTCCCGAGTTTTTTGCAGTTACGGCAAATTTCGCGCGCATTCTTACCGTGAGACTGATATCCCCCGCTCCTTGAACGGTCGCTTCCATTCGACCGCTGCCCTGCATGCGCAGCAGCACAGTGCCTTGATGGTGGAGCGCACCGCCCTGGATGATCATTCTGATGTGCGGACTGTCTCTAGCTCTCGGCTTTAGCTTTGCGTCCGCCCGACAACACCTGCGGCCAAACCGGCCGGCGTGGCTATAAGTTAGTTTACCGTTACGTTCGTCTCTGCCGCAGAGCATGCAGACGAGACTGCTTTCTTTCCGCCGCCGTTCCGCAAAACGTCTCGACGCAGCTTTTTTATGTAGCGGAGGAGTGCCGGGCGGAACGAAGAGCTTCGGCAATGAGCGTCAGCAAACAGCTTCGCGGCATAGGGCAGTGGCTCCGCTTCTTCACGGGATGGGAGCGACTGTAGACTAGTAGTAGTACAGTGCAGTGTAGTCTGTGTGCTTATTCTACTATTTCTAGTTCTACCTCAGACCTCACCAGGCTTCGTGGCCTACAAAAGCCAATCGTCATGATCTGATGGCAGATCTATGTAGATCCACGATACTATTACTATTTAAATAGTGACTCATCCATTATGATTGTTATTGATTATGGTGAGTGCAGTGCACTGCCTCATTGTTTGCGCTGACTGTAGTGTATACATGTAGCATTCTATTCTTGATCGACTTACATGATTGTACTTTTCTTTGTCAGCTTTCCTGCTGGTTATGCATGTGCTTTTCAAGTAAAAAAAAGAAAGTTTAGTCACTCCTGCCACGTACGTATACGTACGTATATACGTCTTGTGGATGACATAGTTTTCATCACGTAGATCTTGTGTATGTACGTGCATGTACGTGATATGATGTAAAGACGCTCTGATCAGGCCCTCCGTCACATCATGATTCATGACTGTGTGAGTGATCTTGCCCGCGGTCGCGACCTCGGGCAAGATCACTCACAGTGAGCGCGTTCGATTATGCACGCGAATCGATTCACGAATCGATTCATGAATCGATTCGCGCTATTCACATCACCCCATGTGAATAGGGTGAATGAATTCCGAATCGATTCCAGGGCTCATGACGTGAAATCGAACGACTTGAATGCATGCGAAATTGCGAATGGATTCATGAATCGATTCAAAGTGCATAATCGAACGCAGCCAGTCAGTCTATGCAAGGATTAGGTTATTCTTGCTAATAGCATGCTGTCCGCAGATTGAGTATTTTCGCTCCTGCTCTTGTAGTAGTTGAGCACTCTCATGTGGGGTAGTGCCTTTGCTGTTTGCATTACGCAGAGCTCACTGACTTGTCAGTTTGAGCACTCTGGCAAGGTACATGTACGTTCGGGCCTGATTGGAAATTCTTATTTTCATTGCTATCAGGTTCGGCCTCATTTCCTCTGTGCTGCGCTGATGAGTTCACAAAGAACGAAACAGCATGCTGTCCGCTGATTGAGTACTAGTAATACATGTACAGTCGAACCTCTTTAGGACGAACAGTCGAACACCAAGGGACCTACGGTATTTGTTCGCAATAATGGGAGTTCTTCTTATGTCTTACCCAGTGAATACACAGTGATGAATCCAATAGCGCTTGGAATTCTAGTTCTTCTTAAGCGAAAGTTTGTCTTATCCGTGTTCTTCTTAACGAGGTTTCACTGTAGTAGGTTATAGTCAGAGCAATACTATTTTGACTGGTAACCATTGGTAACGGTTGGATATTGAGTTGGACTCAGTACCTTAGTACAGGCTACAGGGTATAGTACAGAGTACAGTACAGACCAGGGAGTCGTATGGCTATGGCTATGGTCACTATAATACTAGTCTTGATTGTAACTCCCTGGTACAGACTACAGACTCAGTACTGTCACTGTCACAGTGTCACAGTGTCAGTGTACCATGCATGGTGTACATGATTGTGCTATTAGCATGGTATCAAGAGTACATACACATAACCCCCAGAGGGTTATGTGTATGTACTCTTGATGGTAGTAGTATTGCTAATCCGCGTAGAGCGCATTCCTCAGCCTCTTATTCATACTCATGCCATTTTAATAGGCAAAACTCAATCGTCCGCATAAGTACACAGCTAGCTGAATGGAGGGCGAGCTTTGCGGTTGGCGCGCTTCAGACGAAATAGTCACAGCGTCGCTAAAGCTTCACATAGGACAATTCCTGACAGGCCCACTTTGGCGAAGGACAATTACGTGTACTGTACCGCAGTTTATCATCCGCCTTGTGATAGGCAGATCACCATACTTGTACTTGGCGAACTACTCAATCTGCGGACAGAACTGCTACGTCCATTGTGGACTCGTGGACTTTGCTATCCTCATTTTATAACAACAGGCTTCTACATTAAAATAGGGTGTTGTACTGCAGCACATTGTACTCCCTCGCTAGTGCATTCAGCCATCGCATACAAAGCTACACTGTAACACATCACCATGCAGCCGCACTCCTCCACTGAATCACCATGCATCACAGTAGTCCGAATCCCCAGCAATCAGCGACACTGCCCTGCCAGCCAAGATTGCAACATGTGAAACTTGAGGCATGTGTCCTCGACATTTGCAGCCGCCATGGAGTCGACCAAGTTTGGGTACGACTCCATGGCAGCCACATATCATGGAGAGCTCCACAAACGCTGTCGCGATGAAGATGTCAGCCAGCAATCTCAAAGCATTCACAGCAATGTGTGTTCATAATCAAGTAACTCTATATAATATTATTCTCTCCTGCTAATCCTCTGAACAGGAAGCAGCACAACATAGAAAGAGCACATGAAGCCCAATAGACCCAATTTGAAGCAATGAGCAATCGATGGAGAGAAAAAAGCTGGCTGTCATCATTACCGCTGACATACCACAAAGTTCAGACATGATCCCTATAAAATAATAAATGAATCTCAGCTAAGTTAGACTATATTGTCAGGTATTTAAGGAAACTTTGATGAGTAAAGTGATGGCAGTTCATATTGAGGCTGAGGCTAATTGCAATACTTAGCATAGCTTCTGTTTGTACGATGTTGGCCACAATGGACTCCAGGGCAGGGCCGCGGGGTGGGTCCAGCTGTGACACTGAACCCTAGTCATACCAGAATGACGGCTGCGGCCAGAATCATTGGAAATCACCGGTGACTGTCCGAAGAGACAGGATAATTACAGTGTTCGGAAACGTTTGGGCCCAGATATCGCTGCCAAGAAGTTTTTACAACAAAAGAGTAGCATCGAGACCAACATGTATATTCACATTAGTCTGGTAAGCCACCGTGATGGTATATTTGAAACCGGAAGGAAGCTGTAAAGTTAGTTGCATCGTCAATTTGTACCCGGACCAAATCACAAAGGCAGTGCTAGTGCACTCTGTACCTATTTCCTATTGGCGAATGCACAACGTTTCTGCAACACAACTGTCTGGCAGCATGCATAAAAGAAGTAATCCTCTCCTACATGCGCCGGCAGCAATGGTGCAGTGATTCAGTAGTATGGTGATATTGTGATATGCGATCATTATGTACATCAGGTAAGTCGTCCTGTCAATTGGAAAAAAGAGGTTGTACTGTAGATGTGTCGTCATTGAAGAGGCAGCTGTTCACCGGCGCACCAGTCACACACACACACACACACAGGCCCTGTGCCATAGTGTTATCCATACCAGCTCGGCATGTGCAGATTCGCACGAATCACTCGCAGGCCCTGCACAGTAATGGCTGCCACCCATGCCAGCTCGGCCATGACAGGTATTACAGCCAGCAGGGTACACAGGCTGGGTGTAGTTGGACTACTACTGCAGCTGCATGGAGAACTCGAGCGCATGCTTCAGTGCCTCATCATCATCCATGTCATAGTCCTACACAATAGCAATGACACATATCCACCACAGCACAACCAGACAGTGTCACGCCAGGGTCGGTCTGGGTTTAACGACGTCATAGAAAGAGCACAAAACCGTTCCACGTATTCTTTCTGGTTCGCTCATGCTCAGAACATCAGAGAAGTTAAGCTGCACGTTATTTTTGACGTGAACCGCAATTGCAATTCAAATGGGTCATGGATTGGCGTAAAACGCCAAATTTTGACGTGAGATGCAGCTCTCTGTTGTTGTTTTCCAATCCGACAGCACTGTACACATGGGTACTTACCACAAAGCGGTCGTACTCAAAGCGGTGACGGCGCGTCACGTGATCGTAGAAGTTCTGGCTGACCTGGTCCGGCTTGCCCCACGGCATCACCTTGCAAACGGGACACACCTGAGAAGAAGAAGACCAACAGCAATGGGCTAGTATTCAAAATAGGCTTCTATTTGAATAATTTGAGACAGGCTAAATACAAGACAAAGGGGGTGATGGGGGGGGGGGGGGGTAGGAGTGGGGGAGGGAAGGGGTGATGACGTGGCTGTTGAAATATGTACAGTTTAGAAGGAAAACTCATGAAACATAATCAAAGCGGAATGAAAATTTTAAAATGTTATTTCAAGCACTTTCTTTACATGAATTGGTCCCGCTGGTTCTCGCTGGTGTATTTTGACTCCCAGAGCTTAAAAATTTCCAAAATCTAGATGTTGCGAAATAAATAGAGGTGATATGGGCATACTTGTACATTTATTTCATGGTTCATCTGGGGCAAAAGGTGGTACATGTACAGTCAAACCTCTTTAGGGCGAACACCAGGGGGTCGATGGTTTTTTCACACGGTCAGTACATGGAACCCTGGAACAGGATCCGGCAAACACAGTACACTGCAGGTTTTACTCTGCTTCAATATTGTAGTGACATGGGCGGATCAGAGATCTCTACAGGGGGTTTCCAGCTTAGCGAACACTGAATAGCTGATACAAGTATAGGTAACATAACTAACGTTACATGCATCTGCTTTCCAGTAGTACATTCGCAACATTTAGGGGTTCCCCGGAACCCCTGGAACAGGGTCCGGCAAGCACAGTGCAGGCTTTACTGTACTTCAATATTGTAGTGACACGGGTGGATTCAGAGATCTCTACAGGGGGGGGGGGTCCAGTTTAGCCAAAACCAAATAGCTGATACATGCACATGTACAGGCATATGGTTACCAGTAGTACATTCACAAAATTCAGGGGGTTCCATGGAACCCCCTGAATCCCTCCCCCTGGATCCGCCCCTGAGTGATAGTAGCGTGTCCAGTGCACCTGGGTGCCAGTTTGCATTGACCAGCTACAATAGTACGCATAACCATAGCCATTGCATGCTTACCACTTGGCGCTTGTCACCGCTGTGCCTCTCTTGAACGTGCTCGGCAAGCTCTACACAGTCGATAGGCCCCTCCTGGCACAGAGGGCAGGTGAACGTATACCTGTTCGGACCCGTGTCTCTAGCTCCTGGTCGCCTGTGCGGCATGACAATGGACAATAGAAGACGTAAACAAAGAGAAAAGAAAAAAGAGAAAAAAGGAAAAAATTGGAGGCGTATCCAATTTCGGCTCATACTCCGATGATGAAATTAACTTACGGTGAAAAAGGAGAAGGACAAACTGTTACGAGTTATGACTAACTGTCCACCAACCTTTTGTCGCACTCGCTGACTGTATAAGACCTGGTTACGTTGGTGGACAGTTAGTCATAACTTGTAACATTTTGTCCTTCTCCTTTTTCATCATAATCTAATTGGCTCACCATCCGAGTTAATCAAGTTAACGGTGGTAAATAGGGCGGATGTCTGTATTTCGTGGCAAAAAAATGGGGGGGGGGGAGGTGGTGCGGCGTATACTCCAGCGTGGCTTGTACTACTTAGTAAAAAAATAAAAAATAAAAATACTCCGGAAAATACGGTACTTACCTGCGTGAGGGCCCATGCCCAGTCCCAGTGGCGGCAGTTAGCAGTGGCGGCCGGGCAGCTGCTGCTGCTGCTGCTGCTCGTGGTGGTGCAAAGCCCATAACAGCAGCACCAGCACCAGCACCAGGGCTTTCCACATCATCCTTGCAAAGATTCTTGTGACACCGCAGACCATCAGCACGGAACTGGAATGAACAGAAAAAACCCACCGACAATGAAACGAGCATTCGAGGACAGGACACGAAAGCAGAGGAAAATAGAATAGGAAATACACAACACCAGCGGCCACCACGATGTTTTAAAGCCATGCAACCATATCAATTGTTATGAAAGTCAAGAAGCAGGAGAGAGCAAGGACAACTAATGGTACGTGCCACCCAGGGTGGCTGTGCCAGTGGGGCAGACCAATCGCAGCCGACAGACTGTCTCGGCTTCCGGCATTGCCAGAACAACACACTGTATAAATGATAGAGCGATTCTTTTTGATTGTCCGCCAACTCCAACGCAGCCACTTACACAATTAACTTCACTTCTCGACTCCAAACTCCAAAAACGGTCTCTTCACTGTGATTCAAAATAGAATTTCTAGCTGTGTGTGTGCTCGCTCACCTTCACTCCACAGTAGGGACATGGCAAGTGCTTCATCATCAGCGCTTTACGCATGGCCGCGGCCGGTTGGAGCTGTACAAACGGCGAGCGGCATATCGGACACGTGCCTTTGCGACGGGAAACGCCTTCAAGACACAACTCACAGAAACTGCACGCACATAGGCACACAAGATGGCAGGAGATCGTATTCATGCACTGCAGCAATAGAATAGTATTCGGGGTCCGATATTATTATAGTATCGGATCCCCACACGTGCAGATGATGCAAGTGACAAGTCCCGCTGTCCAGAGCCCATACGGAGAGCTCCACACTCTGTGGTCAATGTGCTCTCGATACTACTCACATCAGGTGAACTCCGTCCCAAAGCATTTGGCGCCCTCAGCTTTCACGGCCCTCGATGCCCTGGAAGTGGTAGGAACGCTGGCAGCTACACGTGCAGATGTGCGAAAACAGTAAGGTCCAGTAGTCCCTTTATATTTCGGCACCATTTCTGTTGCAGAAATACTGCTGGGTTAGGGAGGGTGCTGGATTAGGGAGGGTGCTGGATTAGGGAGGTTGCTGGATTAGAGAGGGTGCTGGATTAGGGAGGGTGCTGGATTAGAGAGGGTGCTGGATTAGGGAGGGTGCTGGATTAGAGAGGGTGCTGGATTAGAGAGGGTGCTGGATTAGGGAGGGTGCTGGATTAGAGAGGGTGCTGGATTAGAGAGGGTGCTGGATTAGGGAGGGTGCTGGATTAGGGAGGGTGCTGGATTAGAAAGGGTGCTGGATTAGAAAGGGTGCTGGATTAGAGAGGGTGCTGGATTAGGGAGGGTGCTGGATTAGGGAGGGTGCTGGATTAGGGAGGGTGCTGGATTAGAGAGGGTGCTGGATTGGGGAGGGTGGTGGATTAGGGAGGGTGCTGGATTACAGTAAGATCGGGCGCCGAAGAACACCTCGCCGAAGAACACCCAGGCTGGAAAACCGGCAAAATTTAAGAACAGTCCAGGCTAGAATTATCAGATTTAACTTTAAGAACACTTTTAAAATTTGGAACATTCTACATGTATGGGAGGTGAGTACATGTCATGTACACGTGTAAACAGTAACTGCTACATGTACAGTCATTCCCATTTACGACACCCACTACTAGCACTAGTTCAGAAGTACTACATTGCACTACATGTACATGACAAACGTCATGACGTCACTTGACTCGCCGCGCGCGTGTGTGAATAAGAACGGTCTGGCTAGAATCAAAAATTTAAGAACTTTCCTAGGCTGCGCTCGAGCCCCTGCGTTCTTCGGCGCCCGATCTTACTGTAGGGAGGGTGCTGGATAAAAAATCTGATTTACTGCTGCAATGTGCCTGAAAAGGACATTTTGATTGCTAAAAATTATGCTGGTTTATAGAGGGTGCTGGTTTATAAACTGCTGGATTAGAGAGGGACGCCTGTAATTGAAACTGAGGCGCCAGTTTTGCACTTAGGGTCGGGTTTCAATGGGCTCAACTGTAGTACTGTAAACGGCTGATTTTGCAAGTGGTGAAAATTTAGCTAAAGTTAGACTCGCCAATTGAAAGTTTGCATTTTGCATAGCATGTGATATTCGTGCATTCTGTTATGATATGAAACGCTGATCGGTAAATTTTTTACTGCCAACTTAAAATTAGCCATTTTTACAGAAAACTGGAATGCACTGAAGAGCTTGGCAATTGTGGCGACTCAGCTTCACGTGTCTTCCCAGCTATTCGCATAAACTAGGCACAGTATTCTCCGGGGTGTTAGCCGCACTTTAAAACGCATACACAAAACTCGAAAATTGCCCCTGCGGCTTAGACTCCGGATGGTGGATGTGAATCGACCAGCGCGACAGCACTCTATGCATATGAGACATGCTGGTATGGTGTCATTCATCTACTGCAATCCTTCATCATATTTTGTGTGAAGCTTCTATATGCTGTCAGCTCTGAGTGAAGGACCCACCAGGCAACTTTTGTAGAACTTCAGTCGGGCCTTTCCACTTCATATTATCTAAAGGGGAAGTCCGGTGAAAAATTTGAATTTCACAGTCTGTAGAGTTCGGGGCGCTGAGTCGAATGGTCTTTGTCCGTGGAGGCTGCAGCCTATGGTTCGTCAGATATGCCCAATCGAACATGTGCGAATTTGAGCGCGCATCACCCAGATCCAGGTGATGACGTCACAGCGTGCAGCCAGGTAGCCACACCATGTACCATCTAGTTGTGTACAAACATGGCCATATTCGGAGCCAGTTCGATTGGGGAACCGTTTGTCGCAGCTTCTTCGGACCAAGACCATTCGATTCAGTGTTACAAACACTACATACCCCAACTACTACTACTACATTGTAGTACTAGCACTCCCGCACTACCGTGCTGGGGTAGCTACAACAAGACTCGAGTCACAAGACTCAAAAGAACTAGTCAAGACGCGGGGGACTTGTCATGTACTACACTCGTATCAGTCGTATGTAAAGTCATGTAGATCTACATCATACATGTAGTCAGAGAACGTGCGTTTCTCCTTGCCGATGCCGGTGGTTGTGCTTTAAGAAAATTTTAGTTTTCCGCATGGAATAGTCCCGCCCCATTATTTTATGCTACAACGATGAGTGCACAACCGTGACCAGTGACAAAACCACGAACAGCTCCCGGCCCTAAAACTTTCAGATCCCGTAGTGCTGCTAGCCTTGAATTGAAGAGTTGTGCCCGTGCCTGCACTGTTCTCCACAGTAGTCCGAAATGTGCGAGGTAAGTTTGCACCAAAACATCACCATGTGGCAGGCTACTGGAGTCCAAGCAAATCGGTATGGAACAACATTTAGAGCACTCGCATCACTCTTCTCCATTTTGGCGACTCTGCTCTCCAGAGATCTGATAATTATATCAGCCTCGTCTGCAATAGCTGCTGCTTCTTCATCAGTCGGAAACGCAGCAGCGCTCACTCTTGACCGGCCCGCGCGGCCATTTCTTCAGCTGAATACCGAGGTTCTCAGCCCAAGACCGAACTCATGAAGGTCAGCCATAGGCATAGGACGTACTACTACTACTAGTGTTAGTGCCAAACTATCTGCACAGTCATGTTGACAGTGCTAGCACTAGCAGTACTAGCAGTACCAGCAGTACCAGCACTACTACTAGTACTAGTACAGTCTCAGACTCTGTATCGGCTATAGAGCGACCGGATATAAGAATATATCGGCTACAGTGATATTGGTACGAAATATCAAAAGCAAAACGTATTTTATCCAGTAAAAATATCACTATAACCAATATTATCGAATGTAACGATATGAACTTAGAAGTTGCGACTTCGGCGGTAATAGTCATGAAGTTGATTGTTCCAACTAGGAACACACGCTTCTTGCCGAACTTGACACTTTAGTTTGTATCCCTGGTGATGGTTTGGCCTGGAGAGCAGTATATAAGTGGTGCTTTTCAGGCACAATCTTCCTCAGCCTACTCAAGCTCAACTGATGAGGGGTGAATTCCCCGAAACACCGTGTATTGAGCAGGGAGTGGTGCTTTCTTGCAGGTTTATTATTATTATTATTATTATTATTTATTGCAACATCTCAAGACTCGGCGGAAACACCGGCCAATATTACGAGAGTGGGTGATTGCCAACCACGGCGATAAATAGAAATAAGGGGAGGGAAAAAGAAAGAGTAGCAAAACGAACAGCAACAACAACTCCGTAAAGAAAGATAATGTCAAATAAAAACAGTGAAAAACACAGAGACGCAAAGGACATGTGGATAATGAGCTATGCATGTCGTAGTAAATAAGGGGCGGCACGGATCTTAAACAGGCGGAGTGAGGTCAGTTTGCCGAGTGGAAGGTGCGACGTGCTCCTCGTGTGCTCCGGATGGCAGTCGGGAGTCAGTCAAGTGTCAAGTTCGGCAAGAAGCGTGTGTTCCTAGTTGGAACAATCAACTTCATGTAATGGTATATCGGATATTATGATGGCAACAAAGAATCAAAACATGCATATCACACTATATTATTTTCGGCTATAGTGATAACTTTAAAATACACGTAGCAATAAGGCCCTATTTTTTTAATTTGTTCACGTTGCTTATTTTTATAGTGATACATGTACATGTACATAACAGAATTTTTTATGGAAATACGGGCACTGTCAACTATGCAGCATGCTCATTTGTCAAAACGCCATGCTGGAAGTATTTCCTTGCCTTTCATGTGTCGATCGAAAAAAGAAGAAAAAATCGATCGTATCGCATAGAGTGATGCATCGGTTATAGTGATAAAATCACGGAAATCAAAAGGGTACGCTATAGCCGATACAGACTGTACTAGTACTAGAGTCTAGACTTGTGACGGAGTTGTGTAGTGTCCGTGCATGCATCACGTGCAGTACACGGCACGGGACTAGCTTGCAACCATGGCAACACTGCGCGCGTTGGACTGCGCGTGCGCACTGGATGCCAACATGCCAACTGATCTAGCTATAAAAAAGCAGTAGCACAAAGAATGCTGTTCTGACAGTTGGAAGTAACGCGTTAGTAAGTTGAACATTTGTTAGGATCGTTTGATGTTGCTGAGCCACGGCGCTGCTAGCTGTAAGAAGAAGTCGAAGAATGGAAGACTTGAAGGATATTCTCCAGAGGAAGAAGGCCAGCACAGCATGGTCGCTTGATAACATAGACAAACTACTGAACACAACTGTCAAGAAGGACAAAGCGGAATACTTGCTCGTCGAGCGCCTGGAGGCCAACGCCAGTGGTCAATTACGAGGATTGGAGGTGGGTCAGCACCAGCTTCAACAGCAGCAACAGGGGCGTGCTCGGCCCCCCAACTAGGGGGATGCACGGGAGCCGAGGGGAGCCCCCCGGCAATTTTAGAGCATATTTGTACATTACAATTGCAATTACCCAGATTGAAAATGTTTGGGGGGTGCACGTGCCCCCCGTGCCCATCGCCGAGCACGCGCCTGAGCAAGAGGCGATTGCGCACCAGCTTCAACAGCAGCAAGAGGCGCTTGAGCACGGTCAGCACCAGCTTCAAGGCGCTTGAGCACGGTCAGCGCCAGCTTCAACAGCAGCAAGAGGCGATTGCTCACCAGCTTCAAGAGGCGATTGCACACCAGCTTCAACAGCAGCAAGAGGCGATTGCGCACCAGCTTCAACAGCAGCAAGAGGCAATTGCGCAGGTAGCGCAGCGTTTGGACAATGTAAATAAAGTGTGTGTTGCTCTCTCCCTCGATTTTGTTGTGTGTTCAGTCCCAATTTAATTTTACAGATTCACCGCTTTCTTGTGAGCATAATAACTCAATTTTGCCAAAAATGTGCATAAGCCCCCGTGTATTCCTGTGCTCTGGCTCAGCTGCATCCTCACTCTCACATGGAGTTCCGTCTTCGGGGTCGCTTGCATCAGCTACTATGTGTCGCCAAATCATTAGAAATAGCATTGACACTATTGCTTTCACGCACTCCTTTTGACCTAGCTGCACGCTATGACGTTGCGGAGGGTGTGGCGCGGCCGCATGACGTCATGGCGCAGCCCCCCGAAACCCAGTTTTTCAAACGGAAATATCTCGAGAACGCTTTGTCGGAGACGCGTGGGACCAACACCATTCGACTCAGCGCCCGAAACTCTACGGACGCTGAAATTTAAATTGTTCACCGGACTTCCCCTTTAACCATTGATAGCGTCTTGTATGTACCGAGACCCACTAAGATAGGTTGCCAAAAAAAATTCAAAGCCTGCCACGTGGCTTTTAAAATACGACAAAAGTACGAATTTTGGACCCGAAAGGGGGCGAGATCTCGGTATGGCTAACGCTCCAGAAAATATGGTAGTAGCAGCGGATCTTTGCACCATAGGAACAAGGAGGTGATGCTGTAACCTCAGACAACACGTTTGCGCCCGTTGCAGGCGCGTGCCCCGTATGGGTTCCTGGGTGTCCGGAACCCCCCCCCCTCCTTTTTTCGCTCAAAATGCAGGATTTTGCTTCATTTTTTGAAAACTTTCACATGTATAGTTGAAAATTAAAGGGGAAGTTAAGGCAAAAATTAAAATTTCACCAGTTGTAGTCTTCGGGGTGCTGAGTCGAATGGTCTTGGTCCGAGAAAGCTGAGACGCTCCCTTCCTACTTGAATCCCAATCGAACTCGCGCACTTCCACCGAAACTGGGTGACTGCGCCCTACTAGATGGGGATTTGTATGCAAAATGTCACTAAAAGCGCCGTTTCGTTCTTATAAAAGCACGGATGACCGCGATTGGCCCATATGTTGTAGTCTTTTGGACGCTGAGTCGACTAGTTTTGGTCCGAAAAGGCTGCGATGCAGCGTTCCTCCTTTATTCCCAATCGAACATGGTTGAAGAAGCGGTCACGTGCTCCTGGGTGCCCAAATCACCTGGTCACCACGCCAGCAGGCGAGAACTTTCACACCAAGGTTCAACTCGAGTGACAGGACTGCACCCAAAAAAGGTCAAATAGGCTAGTAAGTTGTACCCTGCAGGCACGGTGACCAGGTGACTGGTGTACGCAGGAGCACGTGACCGCTTGTTCAACCATGTTCGATTGGGAATAAAGGAGGAACGCTGCATCGCAGCCTTTTCGGACCAAAACCAGTCGACTCAGCGTCCAAAAGACTACAACATATGGGCCAATCGCGGTCATCCGTGCTTTTATAAGAACGAAACGGCGCTTTTAGTGACATTTTGCATACAAATCCCCATCTAGTAGGGCGCAGTCACCCAGTTTCGGTGGAAGTGCGCGAGTTCGATTGGGATTCAAGTAGGAAGGGAGCGTCTCAGCTTCCTCGGACCAAGACCATTCGACTCAGCACCCCGAAGACTACAACTGGTGAAATTTTAATTTTTGCCTTAACTTCCCCTTTAATGTACTGGTATTTCTAAATTTTTTATTCATATTCCATGGCCGCGGATGCTTTGCAAGGCATTAAGATACACGTTATTTCTGACGCGACGCGAAAGTTTAGCTCGCGTTAATTGGCTCGCGCGTCGAAAAACAATGAGAGTGATCTGCAGCTCACGTCGAAATTCGGAGTTTTACGCCAACTTTGACGTGAAATTGCGTGTCACGTCGGAAATAACGTGCATCTTAACCTCTCTAGTGCCCCACCATGTACCAGCTCCCTCTTCAAAGTTCACATTCGCCTGGAAACGGGACCTTAGTACGAGTCTGGCTCATTCAGTGCATGCCACCTACTATCGTGACTACACTGTCTACAGTACTACTACTAGTACAGCATAGACACCCTCCCTGACTATACTCGTAGACTTACCAGTGGTTGCAAGGAAGCTTGCACGGGTTGCACAGCACATCCAGGCAAATTTTGCACTCAAACTCTCCAAGCGAATCGTCGGCCATAGTGCTAGGTCGGATACGCGGGGCACCGGTGACGAATGGTTTATTTTCCCTGGCTCGTCACACTCTCAGCAACTTTGAAGCGGAGCTCGGCAAAGTCGCTGCTCCGGGAGGGAGCAGAGAGGGTACGAAAGTCCAAGGAGAATGGCAATAGAGACTTTATATCGAGCTGAACTGTGGCTCCGCGACTCTCAATAGGTATTGTTTACTCTAGTCGTCTGGGGTAGTAGTCTGCGGGACCACTTTCTTTTATTACCCATGGCGTGGCGGAGCGCGGAGCAAGGCGACACCTGCGAAGGTAACAGTTAGTTCACAGCAGCTATGACTGACGTATGACTATGAGCTAGCTGTCGAGTGTCTGGTTCATCGCCGCGATATCGGGGCTGTTCGTTTCGAAAGAGACGTCGACGAAATCGAAAGTCCAGCCCGGACCCGAAAGGGACTTTCCCGGCGCTAGAGCATTTTTGACATCGCTATGCATGAAGACGATTGAAGTAGGTCTACGAAAACAAAGGAATCGAAAGTCATTGATTATGATTGTGATCATCGGTCAACCATGCATATATATACGGCATGTAGGTCTACAATAGATGATATGCCAAATAAGCGCTCGAAAAGTTGAGAGGGCATGCGATTGATGCGCCCAGGCTTAGCTTGTCAAGTGCACGGGATGTGCAAAGTACACGGATTTTAGGCTTGTTGCGCGCTTACGCGATCAGGTGCTGCACGTGCATGAATGGAATGCATGCAGTTCCACCGTTACTAGTTTTAGCACTTCCTTCGGCGTTGAAACTAAAGCTGTAAATCTGGATAGAAGAAACAGTTTTGCTTGCTTTTAATATAGCGGCTGGAGTGATTTTTCGCTGTCTTGTTTTCGGATACCGACCAACCACGACCATTGCTGTGTTCCAGGATGTACTGGTGACCGGCGTTACTCCCCAGCCCCAGCAAATGGTGTTCGTCTTTTCCATAAATTTCCATCATCCTGAACTGTGAAGGAAATGGACTGTTGCTATTCGACGGGAGGAAAGGCAAGGAGAGCAAAAGAAAGTGACACTACAGTGGTGTGCTCTGACCATTTCTTGCCAGAAGATTATGTAGATCTACAAGGGGAGAAAATCGCCAGAGCAAGACTGGTAAAACATTTTGTATCTGGAGTTTTCAATCTGGTCCGCCAAGACAACAGCGGCTGATGCTAACCGGCGCCGCTCTACCTCGTGTCGTGAGCTACTGCACGGGAGCAGCCTGAAGACATACGACTCATACCTAGTGATATCCCAGGCATACTGTCTCTACGCTGGAGGAAGCATTCGACAGTATTCAATGCAATCTGGGTGACTGCAAGAATAAAGTAGCAAAATTGAGCGAAATGACTAACAGTCGCATGTTTGGAGTTCTGCGGGTATCCCGATTCAAAGACAAGGCATCATATCAGTAACCTTGGACAACACAGTCATGCGACGTATCAAGCGGGGTCTCAAGATAACATTTGGCTACCCAGTAGCCACCATTTTGTCACCGCCACAAAATATTCCCGTCGCCATCCGTTAAAACTTTGTAGTAATTATTGTTTGCCATGCCATAGCGCCCCAGCCCCCTCTTTGCAGAGTTTCCTTTGTTTTTAGGTCAAAATATTCACCCTACGCTGGCTACGGAAACCTTGACCAGGCCTGCTGAGGGGATAGTACACCCTCGCTTTAGCTCTACCTAATGCTTCTTCACGACATGGCTTCTCTTTGCAAAACATACAGGTACCTGGTCTCTGATAGCTGGAGTTTTCTTCCATCGGGGTGCTGCTAGGCAGCCTCCTTCGTCATGCCGCAGAGGCTGCGTAGAAGGCTGTTATGTTATAACAACCTTCTACGTAACCTCTTTGCAATACGCCATTTCCGACTTACCTCGAGCACCCTGTAAAAAGGCGCATTGTCTGCAGGGATGGCCCTAGTAAAAAGATAAATACAACAAAAAAGAACAGCTCCATTTGTGCTGGCACTGACGAATAGCGGAAGCACATGAGAAACTGGTTGCCTGGAGCAATGACGGAAGAAACGCTGATGTGATCTCACTCGGGTGAGGGATGAGGTAAAACCGCGAAGCAGTCAGGGTCTTGCTTCTCAGCCTATGCCATATGCTGCTGCCAATCTGCTGTTGGGTATGGCGCTCTATTGCTATTACCTCTGTTAGAAGCACCTTCTCTGTGATGTGGGATAGGGAAGGCGGGATTTCCCAGTACAAAGGCGAATCAATGTTGCCAGTGTCAGTATGCCCAGGTGGTTCATAAGGGTTTTCGCAACTACGTTCCTTGGCCCTTGTGCCCCATTGCTGTTGTTGCTAGGTTGCATATGCCAGGTATTGACCTTTCATCTCACAATAGTTGATGGTCAGCAGCAATGCAACAATGTGGTGGAAGGAGCATGCAATGCTGCAGTGCAAGTGCAATATGCAGACATCACTTCGAGTACATGCTTTTCTTTTAGCACTGTAGCACACACTTAGCTCTCCTTCTTCTTTTGAGATGCCCAACAGTTAGCCTTGACAAAGTATCTCTGCGGTCCAGAATTCTTTGGCTCTGGGAAGCAACACTCAACACTGTAAACGAATGGCGAGAAGATGGATTCATCCCCGAATGGTTTCTGTGTCCGGCGTTAGGTACCTTTCTCGATTCTGAAGAAGCTGGAGTACAGCACTGGCAGAAACACCACTTAGCAAATCCTCCGAGCGATGGCTCCAGGCCTCGGTGGGAAATTCTGCGTCTGTTTGTTGAGCAGCATCTATGATTTTGATGGATTCAGCCGAGAAGCAGCTTCTTCTGTTCCCGATGCAGATGGTGTCAAGGTATTCGCTGCTGTAGCGACCAGTGAAGGAGGAACGGATTTTCATCCCCCTTTCGCTGCTCGGAGCCGACTGCCATCATTGTCCCCCGTCCAAAGCTCTGGGGCGTTGGGAATAAAATAAAATCTTTCGGTCTTACCTCTGCAACAAATCATCTCGCTTTCCATCTACCGGTATCTCTCCCTCACGTACATGTACGTACGTCTTCAGCTGTGCAAAAGTCCATCTAGCAATCGTTTCGCCGACAGGTGGGTTCGCAAAACGAGAAGCTATGGCTGGTGTACTATTTATTACTGCCATATCTGGGTATCAAAATGAAAAATTGAAAGCAAACAATGCACAAAGGTGTCAGAGTTCCTTTTCTTCATCCGAAAATTTTCTCCGACGGAATGCTAAAATGCAGTAACAGTGGAACTGCATGCATTCCATTCATGCACGTGCAGCACCTGATCGCGTAAGCGCGCAACAAGCCTAAAATCCGTGTACTTTGCACATCCCGTGCACTTGACAAGCTAAGCCTGGGCGCATCAATCGCATGCCCTCTCAACTTTTCGAGCGCTTATTTGGTATATCATCTATCGATCATAGTCATCACATTTTAGAATAGTGATCGTACGTCTGTAGGGCCTTCCCTATCAAAATAATAAATTCTACTACTACTACTACTACTACTACTACTACTACTACTACTACTACTACTATACTGTCAGCTTTCCATGACCACATGATTATACATACCTACATGACTGTACTTTTTCAATTAATTATTTTGACAGCATGTTCCTGTACTTGTATGCTTCTTTGCGGGAATTCCCAGATTACAATGTCAGTTAATATGCACAGCACAGTGTATCAAGAGTACCGATACAATCATAACCCAGGGTTATGTACTCTTGACTGTATTATACCGTGCAGGATGAGTCTGGCATACTGAGCCAGGGTGAGGTTGCTGACCACAGGCATTGTGCTTATCGACCAGGCAGGGAGCGACACTTTTAGACTACAACTTACAAGTACAAGACATAGTCCTCCCGTTTCCGAACATGACTTGATTGTGTATTATCAAGAGTATCTAACCCCCCTCAGTATTGTTTGTATTCTTTATTTAGAGTGGGAAGTCCAAAACAGGCCCTAGCCCAATAACAATGGTCCCACTACTTACCCTTAAGGCCTTATACTCTTGGTATTACATGTACATGACTGTATATGGACAGTCAGTGTTATGGTTGGTTTGGAACCCAATCGATCCAGATTTTGGTCAAAGATCTGTGAAAACTGAAAACTGAAAAAGTACATGTATCTTCATGTGATTCCCAAGTTCTCAAGATCCCAGTCTTCAAAAGAATGGGTGTGATTTTGGACAAAAATTGGAAGTACATTGTAATTGAAGGGCATGCCAATGCTTTCACAGATTGCTGGCCATTCATTGGTTGCCGGAACGTTATAAGATGGCTCTCAATTGGCTTCGCTAGCCGTGTCGCCCATGCAATGATACAGACAAACTCGGACCGCCTCGGGAAATCAGCGGAGCAAACATGTAACGACTCGATGTTTGCACAAAGCAGTGTGGTTTGTGCAAGAAACGGTCCCGGGATGGATCAGACCAGGGGTGTACTAAAACTTGTACTCCCTGAATCAGGCTCCTGGGGCAACAATGACTCAAATGCAAAAGCAAAAAAAGGATACTTGAACGTGCTTTGAAATACTACATTACTTGACAATGTGGAAATTATCATTACGTCATCGAAGCCGCGATTAATCGCACTGTATCCGGTGAGTCAAAAAGCACGATGCAGTATTTTACGACTCCCGACTGAACCAACACAATCTACGACACTGTTATACCGTACATTGACACCAAAAAGACATGAAGCGGGGGTTAGCCGCAGGACAAATTACACTTTCCCCATCACTGTCTCATGTATCACGTATGCTGTAAATCTGTAACCAGCTATTTTCTTACGGATGGCGAGGGATCCGGATAAAAGAGGACCGGCTAAGCGAGGTCTGACTGTACATTATTCTGCACACGTATCGTAAATGACAGTGACCGGCTGGACTGCGTATGAGCAAATGTAATGCGGGTGTGTACATGGATATCCAGTGTTGCTCAATGAAATATTGAAAACCGATCACTTGAGTCAGCGCCCTGCACACACCCGTGCAAACACCCAGTACAGTGTTCTCAGGGCGGGGGTTGGTCCAAGGCTGCACAGCACACAGCGCTACATTGGCTCACGTGATCGTATTTCATTGAGCAGCACTGTGCTGTGAACACCAAGGCAGAGGCATATGAGTCGATATACGCACTACACACCTCTGCCTGCATGTCAGGGACACACAGATGCACAAACAAGCGGGACACAAACGCACGAGAGAGAGAGAGAGAGAGAGAGAGAGAGAGAGAGAGAGAGAGTGAGAGAGAGAGAGAGAGAGAGAGAGAGAGAGAGAGAGAGAGAGAGAGAGAGAGAGAGAGAGAGAGAGAGAGAGAGAGAGAGAGAGAGAGAGAGAGAGAGAGAGAGAGAAGAGAGAGAGAGAGAAGGAGAGAGAAGGAGAGAGAGAGAGAGAGAGAGAGAGAGAGAGAGAGAGAGAGAGAGAGAGAGAGAGAGAGAGAGAAGAGAGAGAGAGAGAGAGAGAGAGAGAGAGAGAGAGAGAGAGAGAGAGAGACGAAGAGACAGAGAGACAGACAAAGAGAGAGAGAGGGACAGAGAGAGGGAGAGGGACAGAGAGAGGGACAGAGAGAGAGAGAGAGAGAGAGAGAGAGAGAGAGAGAGAGAGAGAGAGAGAGAGAGAGAGCAAGGAGCTAGCATAAAGACACACAGACAGGTACATTCCAAACACAACCGCAGTGAGCGTTACCTTTGAGAACAGTGGGCTACACCAATCTCCACAGTACTCCAAACAGCTAACAGGCAACAACAATAAAAACACAATCTACAACAAACATGGCGGCGGGTGAACAGGATAACACAGCGGCATAAAAGCGGTAAAATAGGTACTCCACGTTAAATTGACCTAGCTCGAAGAGGCACAGCACATTGGCACATGTCTACTCGCAAACGTGATCAGCAATGTCTGTCCATACCAGTACAGACGCCAGATCCAATCCATCCGAATTGGTGAGCACGGGTGAGATGCATTCAGGGTTGCCATGGTAAAACATGGCCGCAGCCAGCACTCAAGCATCAAGCAGCCGAACGGCGAGGCGGCAGATTTAAATAATTGCAGCCAGCTGACTATGCACATGTGAGCAGTGGTAGCAATACTGCTACTGCTGCTACAGCTGTTGCAAGTAGCAATATCCTTGTCTTTGGGCACGTTGCAATACTACTACACTGGAGGAGAGACTCTGCTGCACTGCACTGCACTGTAGCATGTTGTACACAGGCGGTCTGCAGTGGCACAGTCACGCAATCGCGCGACTTGACGTACACTGCACTCGCGCACTGCCACGAAAGCACACACACACACACACACTGCCGAGCTTGGCGGCGCACAAGACGATCGCTAACGCTACACTGCCCTGCGGTGATGTCGGACCGCCAGGACGTTCCAGGCCACTCGCTCGCAACGCAGCACACTCATCCTCCGTTCTCTACAAAACATCGACCAACGCGGTCGATGCCCCCAGCATGGTGGCGGGGGTGGCTTGCCTTCATGAGCCGTTCCACCACTCGTACGCCTTGACGGCCGTGTACAGGATAGCTAGGCCGGACACGGTGTTGTGCAGGTATTTTCGCACTCGGTCGTCTCGCCGCACGAGCACCAGCGGGCTGGCGGTGGTGAGGCGCTCCACACGCAGCCGTGACATGACTCTACCGTCCAGGTCCACCTGGTACTTGCAGCAAGGGTCGCTCTGCCACGAGATGCCGTACAGCATGGCGCACGCTCCGCTCATGAACCCCAGGGGGTAGTGCACCATGGCCACACGGCCGGGCAGCAGCAGCGGGCATAGCAGGCAGCACGCCCCACTGACCACTGCGCCCTTGTGCAGAAAGTTCCCAAAGCGTATCCACTTGGCCGCCTCGTCACCGATCTTGGTCGGCTCTATCAGAATAACATCACGCTTCTCCTCCAGCATGCGCTCCAGCTCCTGAGCGAAGTGCTCGTTTGCATTGCTGTCATCATAAATTTCTCGAATGACACCGACGTTGTCCAAATCCAAATCCTCATCAATCCTGCACAAGACAAAACAACCAAAAATGGACAGCAATGAGACCGACCGAGGCTGCGGGGGAGTGGAAGAGAAGAAGGCCTTACCTCTCCTTCGCCATAGTCTCGCCAAGATAACCAAAAACAGCTTTCAAACAAACGCCCACCAACCGAAGGCAAAGTGAATCATTCCAGGGCAAAACTAAACAAACCAAAAATTCTCAAAACGAGGTCGTGCACAAAACCAACACACCCGGGGGTCAGTTTCATCTTTTGAAATGAGCGCTAGAAATCTTGATTTTTCTTTGAGGAAATTTGCCGCAAAACCCATTTCAACTCCATCTTGAGTTTTTCTCATGTACGAATCTGCCATGTGTGTAGCCTGTAAAAGCTGAATTTGTGCGCTTTTGGTTTCATTCGGTGAAACACCACAGTCAAACTCGTCAGGTTTATCTGATCACCCACGTCATTCACACTCAGCTATTCTGCACAATGCATGTACATCATGCACCCACAACAACAAGACAGATCAGATTTTTTCTTCAAAACAATCTTGTTCAACAACTCAAGACTGAACAGCCTCGCGTCGCTGAGTTTTTGTTTTTGAGTTTGGGGAGCAGATTAGCAGTAGTGAGTGCACCTTGATTGTGTTTTACCCTTGAGGCGTGCTCCCTCCGTCCATCGCGAGCCATGGCTAGCCTGTTTTCAGGAGCTTTCTCCACGCCAGTTGGTGCTCTAATTGGTGAGATTTTCTCTGACGTCTTCAATGTCGCGTTATAGTTCTGTTTGTGTCCACTCGTGTTCGCCAGCAAGCCAGCGTGTTGAGTATGAGGGCAGCTGCACGTTTATGTTTCACTGGTTTCCTGCGCAGAACGGTCCACCAAGGAGGATGGCGATATGCGAAATGATGGCATAAATCGTGCGATATGCTACGAAGTGACATCAACGGACGAAGGGTAGGTAGACGGCCTTGTTGTTACCCCCAGCTACATTCGCACATCAGAGCCCTTTGGACGTGTCATGCTTCTTGTTTCGCTGTCTTTGTTTCATAGTTTTAGATTGAGTGTTATGGAAAATTAAGGATAGAGGAGTGTTTTGGTCTGCTCGCTGCGAATTTGTCAAGCGATACAACTCGTGTTGAAACGCTATCTTTGGCCTGTGGTGTCTGTGTTTGTTTTTGGGTATTCACGTGCTATGACGTCATTGTAAAGTGTTCATTGTAATTTTGCAAGGAGGTTGAGTGACAGGGAGCCATGTCAAACTCCTTGTTCTGCATACTCGACATTTCCCTGCTGTGTACGCAGCACTATAATTATCTGCATTGTCCACACTGAGGTGTGCGAATGTTCATACTCAATTTGAGTGATGAAGCGATGCAGCATGCACGACTGCAGGATGTCCAAGTGCATGCGCTGTATTTGTTGCAGCACACAATTACGCTAGTACAGGTGGAATCCTGATAATTCGAATATGGCTTAATTCAAAGATCCCGCTTAATTAGAAGTTTTTCCAGGGCCGATTTCTAGCAATACGATTCCCACATAAACAATTTCTGATAATTCGAACCTCGAATTGGATATGTCCGGTTAATTAGAAGTTCCACGGATTCCACTTACATAGAAAATGTGTGGGATTTGTGCTGATAATTCGAAGTTAGCCAAGTGTAATTCAAAGTTCACTGTACACTGTACTGGTCAGTTCAGTTTGCATGCGCAGGCTGTGACAGTCAGTTCAGTATCCGTGAAATCTGTGTCTAAGGTCCATACCGCAGCTCTGTTTGACCATGAGAGCATTTTGACATACATATTGTGTTGTGGGTGCATGTTTGGATAATTAGAATGTCCGGATAATTAGAAGTTTTTTCCTGGCATTTTGAGGTTCGAATTATCAGGATTCCACCTGTACTAGTTCCAGCAATAGTTTACAAGCCAGAGTACTTTGCACGCGACTCGGCATCCGATTGCGAAAGCGGCATCCGTCGTTTACATCATACTTCTTCCGCTTCATTAAAACTGTCGCTTCACACATCGCAATGCGTGTCACTTGCTTGTCCAAAGTCGGTCTGTCGGAATCGCTGCTTTCTGTGTTCGAACATTGCTACGACCCTTCGTGCACAATGCCTATTTGCTACGGAAGCTGTGGTGGTCTCAGAGCTTTCGTCCGCACCAAACAAATTAATCACGCTCCGCACTATTTCGCCCCAGGGTGCGTTTGTGTCACTTGCTTGTCCAAAGTCGGTCTGTCGGAATCGCTGCTTTCTGTGTTCGAACATTGCTACGACCCTTCGTGCACAATGCCTATTTGCTACGGAAGCTGTGGTGGTCTCAGAGCTTTCGTCCGCACCAAACAAATTAATCACGCTCCGCACTATTTCGCCCCAGGGTGCGTATCATTTTTCTGGAGTCCGTGCCGGCCCACAATCGTCCGCGTGGACATTTGTCAAGACTGCAAGCTCCGGTATAAGAATCCTGGTATTTTTCCTGAATTTGAAATGCTGAAGTTGATGATGGCAAGAACAAAGTGTTATCAATTTCCTAAAAAAAAACGCTTCGTGTGGCGCATGTTGCTGCGAAGGTAGCAGGTCCGAAAACACCAACAAAATCAGCGAAGCGCTTGTCAAGGAAAGAAGTTGCGGAACTGCTTACCCTATACCGCTGGAAGGTCGTTACAGTGCATTCCAAAATCCTAGTTTGCCGTCATCGCCTGCCACCAGGCTGGAGGCATGGATCGCTTGAAAACGAAGTTTCATAACGTGAATTTGAACGCGCTTCTTGTTCAGTGTCTTGTTGGTTGCTGAAGAGTCTGCCTCTGATGGAGACGTCGAAGCCGCAAGTGCCGCGAATCGAGAGGCCACAAACTCAAGCTCAGTCCGGCGACAATGCTCTGCTTCAAGTTCTTGCTGATTTCTTCGCTTCGAGTGGTCAAAATAGATTTGAAAATATCGCTCTGGGAAGCGACAATTTTAATGCCGCGGCGGAAGTGATGAATCTTAGGAGCATGTCAGTAATCTCTTGATTTCCAGGAAATCGCCTAATCGAGAAAATCCTGCATCCGTGGAATCGCGATTTTGCCTGGGGACAGATGTTGCAAAGGTCCATTCCTTTTTTGGCAATACAGTCAACTTTGCGTCTAACGACACTCGGCGGGGCGTCAGAAAATTGTCCTTATTTGCGAAGTGTCCCTTATACCGGAAGTCTCATTATATGTATTACAGTTAGATGGGACTTTGCTCTGGGCATGGAAATTCTGTCGTTATTCGCGAATTGTCGTTATATCTGCAGCGAAGTTGACTGCATTGTGAATAAGGCAGGTGTTTGCTACTTCAGAGAGGTAATAATGGAACAGGGCAAAGAAGAACATGTGCAAACAAAAATGATAAAACGCGGAGACCCACACTTAGAAGGAATGACGAAAATGTGCAAGTGTGAGGAAACCTAAGAAGTGTGGAATGCAGTGTGGATAACAATAGACAGGCAATCGACGTAACTAATGAGTAGTTGACCACCTACCTCTCAGCCTAAGTGTGAATCTACATGTAGTCTGCTTCTGTTCGCATGGGTTTGGTTTCTGTGTGTGAAAACATTCAGGTTCTAAAGCAGTGAACAACTTGTCACGTTTATTTGCTACTTCACTCCCGTTTTTGTGTGTTTGGTGCACGTTATTTATTCCTGATTTGCAGGCCCGGCCACGCTGTGAAAGCCCTGAAGAAGCGACTTTTCAACAACAAGAACTGGCGCATCGTGCTCAATGCGTTGTCGGTGAGTGAAAGTTGCTACGCCTGTAGGTGACGTGTGGGTTTCTGTTGTGGCTCTGCCTTCTGATACAAGCACCACCCTTTCTTTGTTGAGCCCAATGAAATAGGGAGTTTCTACCTCCTCCTGCCTCTACGTCCAGAAATGACTATGGGCCACCTTTGCCTATTGGTCACGAACACATGTTGAACTTCGTCCCCCGAAATGTTCTGTGATTCTTGCCTCTTCTAATGCTATCCTGTGTGTGGGTGTGGGTGCGTGCGTGCGTGCGTGCGTGTGTGTGCGTTTGCACGTGTGTGCGTTTGCACGTGTGTGCGTTTGCACGTGTGTGTGTGTGTTTGCACGTGTGGGTGTGTGCACGGGCATTTATGTATGTATGTCTCTGCTCCTTGTATGTTGCGTAGCTACTCGAGTTGCTTAGCAGAGAGTGCGGACGTCCTTTCCAAGTTATAATTGCTCAGCGCGAGTTCTTGCAGTCTCTCGTCAATCTGACTGTGCCCAAGGTATGTAGTCAGCACTATTTGTGTGGGCGCCGGGATCGGTTTCTCTGCAATGGTAGCTTGATAATCGACTCTTGATCTTTTCATGACCCGACTCCGCTGTGCTGAAGGTAGTGTTGTCAATTACTGAACAGCAGGGACTGATTACTGATTTACTAGTAGCTTTTCGGTTCGGTCTCTTGCTTCGCCGTGCCACTGTGGATGCTCAGACAGCCGTTCCGTTAGCAATGGCATTCCCTATCTCTCCCCCCCCCCCCCCCCCCACACACACACATAGTATGATACACATGCACACATAGAGGACTATTCAGTTAGACATCTGAGGTTACGTGCCTGCCACTCAGTGTCTCTATTCGTCTTGGGTTCCGCTCACACTCTTCTCTTTCTCTGTTACTACATGACTGTACTCTACTGCCAGGCCAACTCTCCCACGGTAGTGCGAGACTTTGTCCTGCTGCTGATTCAGAAGTGGGCACACGACTATGAAAACGTCCACGAGCTGGTGACGATCTGCGCCATGTACGAAACACTGAAGCAGAAAGGTGAGTGTCGTGTGTTGTTGGGTGTGTTGTGACTTTTAGCTCGTCCGCCGTCGTGCAGTCCAGTTGAACAGTGCACATCTCTGGCAGCTCATGCTGCATGTATTATAAGTTTCACACTGCTGTAAGTCAACAAATATTCGGCACATATTTATTTCCGGCTATTTTCGGCCTGGTCATGTTTGGCCGAAATTTTGTTTTGCAAGGTTCCGTGTGACAGTGTACACAGGCGGCAGCAGTACAGGCCGAAAATGTGATGCGGCTGAAATGGGTTTTAACCCTGGGAGGCCGAAATTTGGATGGGCCGAACATTTGTAGACTTAAAGGGGAAGTTAAGGCAAAAAATAAAATTTCACCAGTTGTAGTCTTCGGGGTGCTGAGTCGAATGGTCGTGGTCCGAGGAAGCTGAGACGCTCCCTTCCTACTTGAATCCCAATCGAACTCGCGCACTTCCACCGAAACTGGGTGACTGCGCCCTACGAGATGGGGATTTGTATGCAAAATGTCACTAAAAGCGCCATTTCGTTCTTATAAAAGCACGGATGACCGCGATTGGCCCATATGTTGTAGTCTTTTGGACGCTGAGTCGACTGGTTTTGGTCCGAAAAGGCTGCGATGCAGCGTTCCTCCTTTATTCCCAATCGAACATGGTTGAACAAGCGGTCACGTGCTCCTGCGTACGCCAGTCACCTGGTCACCGTGCCTGCAGGGTACAACTTACTAGCCTGTTTGACCTTTTTTGGGTGCACTCCTGTCACTCGAGTTGAACTCGAGTTGAACCTTGGTGTGAAAGTTGTCACCTGCTGGCGTGGTGACCAGGTGATTTGGGCACCCAGGAGCACGTGACCACTTGTTCAACCATGTTCGATTGGGAATAAAGGAGGAACGCTGCATCGCAGCCTTTTCGGACCAAAACCAGTCGACTCAGCGTCCAAAAGACTACAACATATGGGCCAATCGCGGTCATCCGTGCTTTTATAAGAACGAAATGGCGCTTTTGGTGACATTTTGCATACAAATCCCCATCTCGTAGGGCGCAGTCACCCAGTTTCGGTGGAAGTGCGCGAGTTCGATTGGGATTCAAGTAGGAAGGGAGCGTCTCAGCTTCCTCGGACCAAGACCATTCGACTCAGCACCCCGAAGACTACAACTGGTGAAATTTTAATTTTTGCCTTGACTTCCCCTTTAAAGTACGCTCCATGGCTGAACCCGGCGAAGGTTGTGACCATGTAATTGTTGGGTAAACTGCCATGCTTTTCATATGAAATCCAACCATGTGAGCGCCGGGCGCTGTGCAGCCCTAGACCTGCGAAGACTGGGCTGTGTGAACTGGTGTAGGGCGCAACGCTGAATCTCTCGATCGGATTTCGTTGAGCAGGCACTGTAGAAGAGCAAGATGTGCAACAGCTGTGCTGTGAAACTGGTTGCTGCACGTCACCAGCCCTTGCAGTACTCACGGCCTCTGTGCCATGCACGGCTGCTGTGCACCCTCCTGCATCCACTTGTGTTTTGCATGATGTCTTGTAACATAATTGTTACATTGTTCCTGTGTGTGTGTGTGTGTGTGTGTGTGTGTGCGCGCGTGTGTGTGTGCGCGTGTGTGTGTGCGCGCATGTGTGTGTGTGTGTGTGCGTGTCTATGCACATGCTTTCGACCTTTACAGGTACTGACTTTCCGTCGCGCGAGCTGTCTGAGTTGACTCCCATCCTGAGCTTGCAGAGAGTGAGTTTGGGCTGCATGGCGCAGCCATTGTGTGTGTGTGCCCAGAGATCTGCGACAAGCTTTCTCTTTTTGTGGTGGTCACTCGATTCATATTTTACTGCCAATCTTCCAGGCACTTAATTTTTTAGATTCCGGAATGAGAATGCTCATAGCAGCATGTAAGGTGGAATGATCATCTCCGAAAAGAATCATTCTCGGCGATTCCCATTCTGGAACGGGACCAGCCTAACGGAATTTTTTGACCAAACAAATGGGCAAGAATGATTCCCAGTGATTCCCATTGTAGAATGTGACCAACCAAACGCCACCTTAATCTTTGCATGATTCTTCCTGTTTCTAGTTGTACTCCGCGTGTGGGGTTACTGACTACAGTTGCGCTCGGTGAAATCCAACCCAGAGTGCATATTTGGCGCCCTCAACTTGGACGGCCCTTGACGTCCTGGAAGTGGTGTGAATGTACACAATCATGTACACATGCAATGATGTAGTCGAACTGGTCCAGGGCGCCAGCGTTGCACTTTGGGTCGGATCGCCGCAACTGTAGTTTGTCAGAGGCTGAGCGTCGCGTTGCTCTTTGTTGTGCTTGCTGTCCACTGACTCCAGACGGGGTCCGACTCACCACTAGGACATCGGCACACGCCGGCGGCCGGTGGTGGTAGCCCCAGCCTACGCCAGAGCGCACGCCGGTCACCTTCCACCCCGCAGCAGCAGCGCTCCTCCCCCGTTCCCCAGGCCCCTGCCCCCGTCGCTGCTGGTGCCGTTCCCAGCGGACCCGTCCAGCCGTCGACGCAGCAGGAGACCAAGATGCGCGCCGAGCTGAACATCGTGCGCACCAACACCGACGTCCTCAAGGCTCTGCTCGATGAGCTGACACCGGGACAGGAGGCCATTGGCGACTTTCAACTGCTGCAGGTATGCTGTCGCTTTTGTATGATGCTTAATGTTATCGTACAGGGACTAATTTACTTCAAAAAAATTGCATAGCAATAATTGCTACACACCTCGACGTTTGCATAGCAACGCAACAATTTTGCATAGCAGTTTTTTTCCGTCGACAATGCAGTCTTCAGTGCACTTCCACTTATACCGTCAACAAACGCCGTGCTGTAATTCCTCAAACCACGAAGCGAGGACGCCTTCTCCCTGCACATCTTGCAAAATATCTTGGTCACAGCTCCACCACTCGACTCTGCGCGAATCCATTCTTTTTTGGGATCAAATTCAGCAATCCACTTGTCCACAGTACCTTGCTTCACAGACATGCCGGCAGTGAAGAGGCTTCATCAATAAGGCTAGCAGAATTTTACAAAGATAAGTCCTGAACGGTCGAGACGCCTACTGCTAGTGAAGCAACGCGGTCTAAATCTCAAAAGCAGGTGAAGTACTTGTCGACACTCGCCTCGTGCTTCCTGGGCTGCACTTCAAGTAAGTAATTAGTTAGTTTCCAACTCCAAGTGCACGTGCTGCGGTGCGCGTGCGGAGATAGTGTGACATATGGCCATGGTCCCGCGGCCCGCGCGTGCGTATGGTGTAAAATCTACCTGCAGAGTGCAGTGCAGGCTGGACAACCACACACACACAGTCTAATCTCCTAGTCACAGTGCATGGCGCGCCATCTCGTGGCGCCTAACCAGCCACACACACTGTAAAGCTACACATGTGCATGCGCTACGCGTGCACTACAAGTCTATGTCCAGGGCCATACTTAGCTAACATGTATGTTGTGTCGCAGTTTACCGCGACTCACTACGAACTTCGAATCGCAGACACTGTGTTTTGCGTCGCAAACTGCGATGCGATACCGGTTAAATTAGTCCCTGTCGTAGAAAATTCTGAAATTGTGCAATATGTTTGCTCAGCAGGAAAGTCGTTTGGTCTAACGCAGGTTATGGCTGGACGCCATTTCTTAGATTTTTATTGTGCCTGTGGTTGTGTTTGAATGGACCCGGTGTGGCCGGATCCAGTGGTGCTGTGCTGATAGTGTGTTCGTGTGTGTGTCTGTCCGTCTGTCTGTCTGTCTGTGTGTGTGTGTGTACGTGTGTGTGTGCGTGTGTGTGTACGTGTGTGTCTGTGCGTGTGTGTACGTGCGTCTGTTTGTCCTCACACTATATTCCTTGCTTGATCGCGCTCCCCAGGACTTGAACAGCACCTGCCGCACCATGCGTTCTCGCATTGTGGAGCTTATCGACCGAATTTCCCACGACGAGCTTATCTGTAAGGAGATGTTTATGGTTATTTTTCCCGTTCTTTCCAGTTGTTACTCTCTGTGCAGATTGAACATTTGGTACTCGCCGATCGCTTTTATAGCCTATCCTGGCTCTGAACTTCGCATCTGCAATGATTAGTCATCCGCCCTCCGCCAATCAGAGTTCAGCAGGTGTTTGGTCGTAGCACATGCCGGTTTTTACTTCTAACTCTGATTCTATCGTTCACGTTAGGGGATTTTGAAAACCCAAAATACTAGTAAGCTACCTGCAAGAGTACATACCACGGAATTACTCTAGTTTCAGGAATTTTAGGTGCTCCATATTTTCGGTATGCGGGCAAAAGGCCAGGTTAGGCGAACAGAAAATTGAGTTACGGAGTAGCAGTTCCCTATTGGACTATGCGTGTTCGTGTTTGTTCGGTGTATTGAAATTTTAGGTATGAAACAGACGCACCGAAAGTACAGTCAGACCTCGCTTAACCGCACACATCTGTTTTCCACAAAAATATCCGGATAGGCGAGGGAACCGGATAACTGAACACACATACTGTATATGCATGTGGCATATCAAAAGCAATGACATCGTACATACATGTAGACGGGTCCTATGCAGTACAACTAGCGTGCACAGTATCTAAAACAAGCGAGAAAAATGACAAGTGCATGCAACTGAGTGCTGTTCACATGCACCCAGCAGGTCAAGGACCTCATTTGCCTGTACAACTCCCTGATTCTAGCTTCTGCAAGGCACATGCAACCGGATACGACGAAGCTTTTTGTACACATTTCAACCAGTTTGTACACAAAATCATGCACCGGTATGCGGATCGCGAGGTCCGGTTATGTTGTATGCATAACATATGCTGCACATCGGTAACCAGCGATTTTCTTCCGGATGGCGAGGGATCCGGATAAACGAGGACCGGATAAGCGAGGTCTGACTGTACCGAAAATAAAAGTACACCGAAAATTTGTGAAATTACTAGTATGTACTCTTGCTACCGGGCATCTCACACACCCGTGGTCCCTGGCTGCAGGAAGATGTTGTCACCTGTACTTGTTGTGCTGTGCTGTGCTGACATTCAGGTGAGCTACTAGGCACCAACGACCACCTGAACAACGCCTTCATGGAGTACGACGCATACATGGCACGACGCAATGCTGCCGGCAACACACAGCCGGCCGCTGGCGTGGAAACCGTAGCTGCGGCGACCACGCCGTCGGTGTTGGCTGCGCCTCCGTCGCCGTCCGTGCAGCGACCGCCCCAAGCAGCAACGGCGACGGCAGATACTGGGGCTGGCGTATCCCTGATTGATATGGACGCAACCGGGGCACCGCCGACGCAAGCGATGGGTGGCCTGAATCTTGGTGAGTTCTCCTTTGTCAAGCAATTGTGATCTTGTGAACTTAGCGGCCGTCCGTAATTATCAATCTTTTTCACAAAACGAACAAGTTTCGTTTAGGGGTCATCGCAAAAGTTTTCCGTCGTCCCTGAAACGAGCATCGTTCATTTCGTACTTGGACCCCTCCCCTCCCTCTGAAACGAACACAGCTTGCTATGCTGGACGACGAAAATCGCATGCATGTAGTACATGTCATATGTACAGTGTCGGTCGACTTGCGATTTTGGCTCGCACCCCCCCCCCCCCCCCAATGAATCATGTTCGTTTCAGGGACGACAAAAAACTTTTGCGACGACCCCTTACGGGTAGGTGGGTCGAAGACAGTTTCAGTCTAACCGTATGTTTAGAGGAGAAGGCAGACGTGCCGCTGTGTGTCTGGTGAAGTGAAATAAAAACAAAGAAACACACCTGTCCGGTGCCCAAGAACTGTGGGCTCAAGAGTCACAGCCTACGCCGTTCTTATATTCCATGTAGAACTATGTCAAAACAATAATAAGAGAGGATGAAAAAGTGTTCTTACTCTGAGTTTCACACACTAAGTGATCACCAGAAAACAGACAACCTGGAACCTCTCTGTTTTCTAGAACTATGTTATGTATATAGGTGGGCCACCGTGTACATTAGGGTATCAGTGGGCCACCGTGTACATTGGGGTATCCTGGCCCTGGTGAAATCCTAGCCTGTTCGTTCCTCGACGCCCGGCAGTACTATGATGTACTTTGCCGGTGCTTGGCTGGGTCTGATCTGCTCAGCACACCACGTGGGGGGGGGGGGGGGGTGCTGGTACAGTCAAATCTGCCGTTAGCGACCTCTGCTGTAGGCGACCACCTACCATTAGCGACCTATTTTCCGTGCACCGACGGTTTCACATACAAATTGATCTGTCCAGAGCGACCATCTGCTATGCGCGACCAGCGACCGCGATTTCATGCACGGTGGCTGCATTCAAATCTGCTGTAAGCGACCGCGACCCACGTTCAGTCAGGTGCGAAACTGTACTTGCCACTGCGCTGTCAACTGCAAGATGTGAAAATGCACTGTCTTGCAAGTGCGATCGACTGGCCCTGGCACCCCTATATTGAGACCGCTTTTTCTTGCACCAAGGGGCGGTCGCTTACGACAGATTTGACTGTACCTTGGTCTTTGAGAGTTAGCATTTAGACGAATGCAGGGTTTTCCGCTTTTTTTATTTATTTGTTTGTTCATTCACAATCACGTGGCACTAGCCAATGAAAGGGTGATGTGGGCGATAGACGACCATGGTGGTAATAGAAGGGATGGCATGCATGGTGTGTCTATCTCAATTCCTATACTCTATGCCTGCTTCTTGGTCTAGGTGTGCTGTCAATACCGGTATCTGTCTGCTTTCATGGTGTTGTTTCTTTCTAAGATCCCTTCGCGCAGCCACCACCGCAGCCAGCAGATGACGATGATGACTTTGATATGTTTGCGCAGAGTCGTGGCCAGAGGTAATGCTGCTGTCTGGCATTGCAGCACTTTCTACGCTGCATGTGCTGTTTCTGAGCTGTCTTACTGCCTGTCTGATCAGTTTGACTTCATCCTCTCTGTTTCACACATTGACTCATTCATTCTCTCTCTTTCTCTCTCTCTCTCTCTCTCTCTCTCTCTCTCTCTCTCTCTCTCTCTCTCTTTGCCTCTCCATTTCACAGTACGGCTGCTCCAGCAGTTAACCAAGCAGATACATCTAGGAATCCGTTTGCCAGGTAAGCGCTAATAACCTTGCACTCTCAAAACTCCACATGCTGGAAGCTGAGGCCCTACCCCTATTGGTGACAACGCTGAGCACTGCATTGGCCTAGCGCTACAAACGCTGAACCTACCCCGTAACGGCGTGTATGAAGGCAGTGCATGTACTTGTAGCCGCAAAGGCCTATGTTCAACCATGCGTTTCTTCGAACTGTGGCTGAAGCAACTTCTTGTATACCGGTCGTTATCGATCGTTACAACAATGCGGTTACATAGCCGGTGGATAGATACGGGGTAGAGTTTGCTAATCGGTGTTTGCAGTAGTTACCTGTTTCCAGCTGGAAATTGGCTTGACTGGAGGTGCTGCTTTCTGTTATTCCCATGTCTACCCTAAGGAACGACTGCACATGTAGTTAGCACCCTTTTTTCTTGGCAAATTTGACCAGCAGCAAATGGACTCGTGTGCTGCATGTTGAAGTGTGGGGTGCCCGAGTGAGATATTATCCGCAGTCAGAATGCTTGTTTCCTGGACTTGAACGAATTTGCATTATTGATACATTATCGATACTGTAAAACAGGTTATTCTCGGTGTACCTTAAATTTCGGTGATTTCAGTAGAAATTCCAGGCACCTAAGTTTAGATTACAACACCTAAATAGCACTGCTGTGTGTGAAGGGAATGTTGGCTTTGTTGTCACCTAATTCTAAGTTACACCTGAACCCCATCAGGTCCCTGACGCCGAAATTTACATGTTTTACAGCATCCGTTGGTTGAGGGAGTTGAAACAAGAAAATCGATATGGATGATATTATTATAAACGATATTCTAACGTCATGGGTTTTCGGTTTGTGCTTTTTCAAGTGCGGTTTGTACTTTTATGTCTGTTTCATCGCGTTCTGCTTTATAGCGATATTGCAACGGGCGGCGGTGGTCCTATGCATGCAGGTACAGCTGCAGCACCAGTATCGAGTGGCGGACCCGTCACAAGCTCAGGTATGTGCTGATTATGCTCTGTGTGTGGGTGGGTGTGTGGGTGGGTGTGTGTGGGTGTGTGGGTGTGTGTGGGTGTCAGAGACAGACAGAGACAGAGACTTCAAGCGAAGTACCTGTACAAGTAGTGTTGCAAAAGAAGGATCCACGAGTAGTTGTTGGCGTTGCGGAAAAAGTACTTACAAGTTAGAAGTATCCCTATGTGTACTCGTGCATGTGGTGCTATTGCTCTCGCTCTCCAACGACTTGCTACATATTGGATGTGTGTCTGTGCGTGCTTGCGGCATGTGTGCATGCACGAGTACATGTCTGTATGTGATATGTGTATGCGCGCATGAGTGTATGTGTGTGTGTGTGTGTGTGTGTGCGTGCATGAATGCATGAGTGCATGTGTGTGTTTACTTGTGTGCATGTATGTATGTGTGTGTACGTGTAGAATTTGACGACTTCCTGGCACGGCGGACCAACATCATACCGGCCACCACCAGCCCGGAGACGGCGGCAAACCTCTACAACCCGTCGCCACCCGTCACGCGTACAGCGACGCAGGACCGCACGCACGCACCATCCCCGTCACATCTGCAACAACAGCAGCAGCAAGCCGTACCCTCGCAGGACGCCAATTTGCAGGATCTGTTGGCCTTTGCTGCACCCGCCTCGCAGGCTACCATGCAGACGGCGCAGAACCCGGTGCCGGGCGGTCGACCAGCCATGCAGACTCACGATCCCACCGCCGACATGTTTGGCTTCTAGGATTTCTATTTCTCTCTCGGCACGCGTCACCACCGCCACCTGTTGTGTCGCCAGCTCACCTCCAGGGTGCACTGTCTCAGTGATTGTGGTGCGCTCCGCAGACTTGAATTGTAGTTGGTGTGTATCGAGCTCGGGTGAAGCTCTCTCACGCTCTCTTGTTTGCGCACTGCTTGTCTGCGCACGTTTGACGTTGTACTGCTCTGCGTAACTTGGCTTTCCCCGTCACCAGCCCGCTGCTGTCTCGGAGCTCTCGGCGAACCTCTGCGTCCGGACCAGGAACAAGATGATTGTTGTTGCCCATGTCCTGCTCTGCGTTTGCTTCGTGGCGTGTTTTTTGTTGGCCTGCATGTGGGTGCTGAGGTGTGCGCGTGTCTGCACGTGTTGGTCTGTGTGTGCGTGTGTGTGTGTGTGCCCGCGTCCCGTTGTTGCATTGATTCGTCTTATTCGACGTAATAGTTTCGTCATGGTTACCGGTAATTTTTTACTCACACTGTTCATGCTGGAGGTCGGATGCTAGGCTGTCTATTTTCTTGGGGGGTTTTGCCTCTCTTTTTTGCCCCTGTCTCTCTCCTCAAAGAATTACCTCTTTGTCGTGATCAGTTCGTTTCTGCCCTTGTGGTTCCATGCAAGAAGCTTGTGTTACACCGCAGGCATCAATGCTTCCGAAACTATTCTGATGCCACTAGGTGTTTTCTCTCATGTTCTCCGTTCGATTCATCGGCTGGGCGTCTCGCCGGGCCATGTTTTCGCCCTGAGCCACCGTTTAACTGTTCTAGTTGCAGTTTCATCTTTAGCTCATGAGTTCTTGCTAGACGCCGTTCAATTTTCAATATCTGCAGTTTGTTTCCTTGGCTACTGCTGCTTAGCACATTCTTCGTGTACTTTCCCCCCGACATACGCGTACACTGAAGTATTTTGGGGCCCGTTTGCTGTTATTACCTCTGCTCCATTGATACCCCCCCGCCTCTGCTGCAGAGCCTGGCGTGTCGGCCTTGCCTGTTTGCAACGAACTCCTCGCCAGCTGTAATCTCGCTACGTTTCTCAACACAACTTTTAAAAAAACCTGCCTAGCCACTATGCACGCTCCCGCTTGCCGCCCAACCTAACTCATTTTTATCTATTATGATAGCTATCCACGACATACTCGCGCTCCAATCCAATCCGGATCTCTTTTCGGTTTGTTTATTTTTTTTGTCTCACGCGCCACCCGCCTGCGCTGGTATTGCGGTTCTGTAGTTGCTCCTGTCCGTTGAATGCTATGCTGTGGCAGGCGCACACGTCTACTGTCTACATGCTTGCCTCGATTCTTTCCGTGCTGCTCTTCATGTACACGTGAATTCAGTATTAATCTGTTGATCTTTTGTGTTTCTTGTCATGTCGGCACAGGATGCCTGCCTCTGCCTCCATGGTAACGGAGTCCACGTTTTTTTTTGAAGGTCCCTCGAGTGTCATCTTCGACCGGTTTCACTGGACTTTTAAAATTATTACCAGTTCTGTGCTTTTTTTTACAGCAGCAACTACATGGCATGGGTTGCTGCTGCCAGACACTTCTGTGCTTTTTAAAACTTTATAGAATGATTGTTGTGCCTTGGCAAACATGTTTCTTTAGTTTAGGCAAACCGACCACTTCGTGACGATTGCCATGCAGGCAGGCGTGCACAAGAATGCAGAACACAGACCAGGCATTATCCATTAATTTTATTGTCGGCAGCTACATTCTGTCCTATTAAACCTGGGATCAGTTCAAAAAAAACTTCATACCGACTGCCTCGCACAGCCATGAAATACGTGGATGGATACGCCTAGACTACCACACCGCGCACATTCGCCCACTGCCTGGATTGTTTTACTTCGAAGTACCGGCAGGCCTCGCTTATCCGGTCCTCTTTTATCCGAATCCCTCGCCATCCGGAAGAAAGTAGCTGGTTGCAGATTTACAGGATACGTGATGCATCCAACATAACCGGTGTTCGGTTTATCCGGTTCCCTCGCCTAAACGGATATTTTTGTGGAAAACGGATGTGTGCGGTTAAGCGAGGTCTGACTATCAATATAATATGCTCGTATCAATTTTACAGGCTACTCTGGCTGCCCGTATACATCAATGAGTTAACAATAATAATTATTATTATGTTATTGTTGGAATACTGGTAGCACAGGCATTGAAATCAACCAAAAACTATCGGGCCAACTAGCAAATTCCGGTCAACGACTTGAATGTTCACAGTCATGTGTCAAACCAAAGGTAATATGGGTGAGATAGTGATGCAGAAGCTGTCAGCATTGCACGCGCTCGCACAGGGCGAACGAACAGGAATCAACGGCAAGCCTGAGTATTAGCGATCAATGTATGGTCACAACTGGTACTAGTGCAGTCGTGCTCGGTGATATCCCACCCAGAGTGCAGATTTGTCGCCCTCAACTAGCACGGCCTTGACGATCTGGAAGTGGTACAAATACGGCAGGACGCACACATCTACAAATACTATGCTGTAATCGGTGCTAGTCCAGGCCACCAGCTTTGCACTCTGGGTCGGATTTCAACCGAGCGCGACTGTGCAATGAAGCTCAAGTTACTGACGTGGTGTGTGCGTGTATGTGCGCACACAACGCTACGCTTCTATCTCCTCGATATCACCGTCGGAATCTCCTCGATGTCGTCTTCGTCGTCGTCGTAATGCGGATAGTTTGTCCGCAGCGGTGCGTTTACACTGGAGGTGCCTGGCTGCTGTGCCCACTGCGGTGGTGGCTGTGATGACGTATTGGCGTCGCCAGGCAGTTCGTCTACGCTGATGCGGCTCGACGAGTGAGACAATCCCCCGTAGCCACCTCCGCCGCCAGTGTGTGCGATACCACCGCCGGATGTGTGATAAACCATTGTGACCGGTTGCACGCCCATGGGAGTTTTGAACGTCAGCGCCGCCGGCTTGTTGCGATCAGTGCCACCGCTCGCGCCAACGCCGACTGGATCGCCAAACAGGTCGACTTGGCTGCTGCCCAGCAAGCCGCTGTTCGATTTGGATCCCAGGCCCCGCGGCGGTCGACGCTGGGCCCGCGTGTCGTACATCCCCTCGTCGTCCGTCGTGTCCGGCACGACCGCGCGGTTCGTAGATCGTCGCGGCAACTGTCGTCGTGCCAACCCGCCGTCGCCGCCCGTGCTGTTGTGCGCCGTCGCCTGAGCGACGTTGCCGCCACGGTGCGGCGTCTCGAAGCTGCTGGACGTTGTGGTAGTCGTTGTCGTCACCTCGGAGCTGTCACCGGGCCCGCCACCGCGCTGGGGCCCGGGACGGCGGCGCTTCGGCTGGAGGCCGGTGGGCGGCTTGCGACGGATGAATTTCTCGTCCACCTCGCTTTCACCCTGGCGGTCGTCAAACAGGGAAAAAAAACACAATGCAGAAAGTGCATGTTACAATGGTGAAAAATTCTCACGCACAGGATGAAACCATTTGAAGTGGTTCCCAGGTACTACTTGTGTGCTAGTACAGTCAACTTCGCTTATAACGACATTCGGCGGGGCATCAGAAAAGTGTCCTTATTCGCGAAGTGTCGTTATACCCGAAGTCTCATTATATGTATTACAGTTGGATGGGACTTTGCTCTGGGCATGGAGATTCTGTCGTTATTCGCGAATTGTCGTTATGTCCGCAGTCGTTACAAGCGAAGTTGACTGTATGTAGATTCTGCATTAGGGACCGGCGGATTATGCTCGAAAAGGTGGCAGATTCTGCTCGAAAAGCAGTGAAATTGGCAGAACCATACAAACCTTTCTGCCGGCAGAATTCGCCGGACCCTATTCAGCATGCCTGACAGCAGCCTGTAGTACAGCCAAACCACTTTAGAACTAACATCCAGGGACCAATGGTATGTGTTCGCAACAACGAAAGTTCTCCTTATCCATATTTTATAGCCAGCGAACACACACGGATCCAATAGTGTTATGCACACCAGTTCCTCTCAATGAAATCCGATCTCATGCAGAAGCTACAGCCCTGACCCCAGTCCACAGGCCAGTGTTCACAGGTCTGGGGCGACATAGCGGCTTCGCTCAGCGCAAAGTGATTCACGCGATCGCATTTCATTGAGTAGGACTACATTTCATTGAGTAGGACTACATTTCATTGAGTAGGACTACATTTCATTGAGTAGGACTACATTTCATTGAGTAGGACTACATTTCATTGAGTAGGACCGTACATTATTTTCATTGAGTAGGACTACATTTCATTACTGACTGTAAATGACGGGATCGAGATCCCACCAACTCTCATGACTTTGTCCTCCTGTATTTTCTGTTTCTTTATGGTCCTGAATGGCACAAGCGCAGTTTGCAAGCCCGCTTACATTGCGAAGGTGCTAGTAATACTACCGTAAAGTACCGCGAGAACGCTCCGTCTCGCGAGAGCGCCCCACTTTGAGTTTACAGCCAGAGAAAGGGAACTTGAAACGCAGAGTGCAACGAAGTTTGTACGGTGTGGGAACCTTAGGACCTTAAAACCTAAGGTCACACAAAGCAGGTTTTTGTGTGGAGCTCGTGTCCGCTCGAAGGTAAATTCAGTACGGATTCACCGGACAACGTGCAATGTGTGTACAAGATTCGTGTCGTATGACCTACACACACACAACACTACCTCCACAATACGACCACGAAAGGACGAGATGGTGAGGCGCTCTCGCAGTACTTTACGGTAACAGTAGCACTATTGAGAATATTACCGAACTCACCCTCTGAGCTCGCACGCTCGACGCGGAATCGATTCGCCGATCGGCGTTCCAGAAGTCGGCGGTGCCCCGTCGGCCAGCCCCGGCACTGCCACCAGCTGCTGCTCCCCGGGGAATACCCGCACCACCACCACCACCCTGCTCTCTACCCGCTGCCGTGCTGCCGTAGGACGCCGGCCTCCCGGCGTGCAGGTTCTCCACGGGTCTGGGCCAGTTGATCTGCTGCTGCGCTGGCGGCGGGGGACTGTGGCGACCGGACCGGAGGTCACGTCCCACGCTCTGCTCGCTGCCGGCCAGAGTTGTCGTGGAGATGTTGTTGCTCATCGTCTTCTCCGTCTCCGCCTGCATTGCAGATACAGCAAAGTACAGTCGACTCCTGATATAAAGAACATCATTGTAGAGGAGAATGTGTTTTTTTAGCCAAAGTTTATTATGAGAGAAACCCACTTACACTTCACGTTCAAATTAGGACATGGAAAACGGTTCGCTATAATTATCATGCAATACGAAATACATATACAGTAAAAACGCGTCAAGGCAACCACCTGGATAAGGCAACCACTTGGATAAGGCAACCACTTGGATAAGGCAACCACCTGTTCAAGAAGACCACTGAAACAAGGATCAAGGGATGCTATTTCCAGTCAAATGACCCTGGATAAGGAGACCACCTGGTAACAGAGACCACATTTTGAAGGTCCCTTGAGCGGTCGCCTTGACAGGTTTCACTGTACATGAAGCAGTCACATACAGAACTTGCGGTTTGATGGAAAGTGGACAGTCTGCTCATACACCTGCAGTAAGTCACCTCTTGTAAGCAGCATGTGCGCTCTGCATTGGATCACTGCTCCTTCCAATGGAGACTTCCAAGTGCACTGAAATCAGCCGCTACCTGCACTGGCGACGCTTACCTCCGTGTCACTCTGCATCACCATGCGCCTCATCTCCTGCTTCACACGACTCTTCGTCGCCTCGTCCATCGTCTCCACCCGCTGCTGCTGCGGCGGCGGCTGTTGTTGAGCGCCCGGGCGGCCTGCACCTGCAGCAAGGTCACCTTTGGCTGTCCCCTTCAGCATGGCGAGAAGATTGCGCTTGGATTCCTCCTTGCGCCTGGCTTCCTCCGACTGCACGATGTTCGGTTGCTGACCGAGCGTTGCACCTGCTGCCGCTGGGACATGTGCTGGTCCTGCCCCGGCGTCGGAGGACATCTTGGCCGGCTTAAAATGCAACGGTGGTTCGTTGACGTGCAGCGATGGCGTTGAGCTGGTGGCGGCGAGAGTCGGGTCATGCCTCCGGAACAGGTTGACGCGGGACTGCTGCTGGGTTGGCTGGGCCGTAGCCACGGACACGGCAGATGGCTCGTTACCCGTTTGCACTGAGGAGTTGCCAGCCGCACTGGGGTCGTACGACTGGAACACATTCCGCGCAGGCTTTGCTCCTCCGCCCGCCGTGACGTGGCTCGCACCGGTGATCTGCTCCTGCTGAGTGACAAACGTGTTTGATACCCGTCCAGGTGTTGTTGTCGCTACGCCAGTCACAGCTGCATCGGCATCGGCAGGCTGCTGCGATCGCGATGTGTTGCCACCTGACGCAGTGGTGTTATCTACTGGAGCGTGACCACTGACGTCACCATGCGCGGTGAGATCCTCCACGTCGTCCCCACTGACGTTCTCCCCTGGAATTGACGACTCGCTACCGAGGCCTTGTCTAGGACTTGTATATGTACTGCCTGCATGCATCGGTGGGGATGTGTACTGTGGAGATTGTACGGTGATCGAATCGCGGGGTGTAGACTGGATGCTACCCGCAGGCGCCGTGCTGCGTGGGGTCGGCTGTACGCTGCCGACGGTGGACGTTGGGTTACGAGGCGTGTGCTGTTGCTGCTGTACGCTGGGGGCCAGGTTGCGAGGGCTGGTCTGCACGCTGTTTAGCCCGCTCACCACATCCAGGGCTAAGCTGCTAGCGTCGCCCCGCGTTGACATGGCAACACTTAGATCAGCGGTAGAGGTTGCCACGTCCTGGGTGCTGGCGATGGGCGGCAGTTTCAGGTTAGCCGGCATGTTGTGGCTGATGCGCTGGCTGTAAATGTTCTTCACTTGGAGCTCCTTCTCCCGTTCCTGGAGGACACCAAAAAGAGAGCATGAACAAATTGACACGAATACTTGAGCAGATTGTGCACCCGGAGCCTTTGTTGCCTCCACCACAGAAATACTCGTCACAATCATTTTCTCTGCAAATCTGACCTAGGTTCACAGGGGACAAACCTCTCTCCTTTGCTATGGTTTGTTTTGCATCCAAGTGTCTGCCCCTCCCTGGGAGCAACCTCTTTCCAAATGCCTATTGAGGTCAGTGAGCAAACTCGCCAAGCATTCATACCCAGGCCCGTAGCAGCCCCATTTTGGTTGGTCCGGCAAGATCCGACCTCGATGCCCCCCCCCCCCCCCCCTGAGCCCACACTCCTACACATGCCGGTACATGTACAGGTACAAAATGTATATGATTGTACATTTATGTACATGTCATACATGTACATATTGAAGTACATGTATGACATGTAATTGTGACCATGCGGCGTGACATAGGGCGAGAAAAGGAAGAAGGATGTTCTGAATGAGTCAGGAAAAAGGGCATCAGCATGTTGTGTCCGTCCAAACAGAACTTGTTGAAGACTATGAAGGCATAGCAACAGTATCTAAACGCATGTGATAAAAGAACCAAAAATGGACGTTTGGTCCCTTGGAGGAGGAGAAAGGACATTGCAATGGAGGAATGGCAGGAGGTCATAAAGCACAGGACAACACTCTATGTACGTGGTATTCGCAACAACATGTACATGACATGTACTTGAGTACAACTACAGAGTTCAAACTTCAAAGTATAATTATGTATAATACTGTTGCTATTACCATGACTGTACTACCTCTACTTATTGCACACATCATCATGGGTGGACATCCTGAGCTGCTCACATGTTTGTTTTTTTGGCCGAATACAGGTCCGGCAGCTGCCGGACCTGCCGGACCGCCTGCTACGGCCCTGATACCACTGGACGTACAGTACCATGCTCCCAGTAATGATATCTCTTACCTTCAGCTGCACGTGCATAGTGCGCAATCTCTGCTCCAGCTCGTGTACCGCGGCGTCTTGGCGGCGTATCTCCTCTTTCGACTTGGCCTGCTGGCGTTTCTGATTCTTCTCGTCCATGGCCAGCTGCTTTTGTAGTTTCTGCAGAGAGCACAATCGTGCAGTATGAAACAGATACTGTCAGACTACGTACATATCATTAGACTTCATTGAGATCGGTGCGGCCAGCAACTCTGAGCTCCGCTGAGGAGACCTAACACCTTTGACACAGCTTGCTGTCTGGAGATTGAGTATATTGACGTTATTTAAACTTAACGATCTCGGGACGTAGACCAAAGGCACACTGACAGTCTAGACATTTCCAGAGTGACCCGGTAGTATGACTTCAATGCAGCAGAGTAACTTGCAAACGGAAAACACTTCTGATGACGATCCTGGCACATTGGGTAGGAATGTTCCTGTTATGTCAACAGTTCAACAGTTTGATACTATCACATCTCTTTCTCTCTCTCTTTCTCTCTCTCTCTCTCTCTCTCTCTCTCTCTCTCTCTCTCTCTCTCTCTCTCTCTCTCTCTCTCTCTCTCTCTCTCTCTCTCTCTCTCTCTCTCTCGGGTTTTCCCCACTTACCCGAATTTGCAAGTCCTGCCGGTCGTGTCGTTCGTTTGCTACCTGCAGTTCGGACGTGAGTTGGGTCCGCTCCTTGAGGTCTCGCGAAGCTACCATCTGCTCAAGGCGATTACACTTGCGCTGCGCCTGCTGTAGTTCATCCTGACGAGCTTGCAGTCTCTGCTCCAGGGCCATGGAGGTCTGTTTGCTGCTGCGTAGCTGCTGCTTGAGCGCACGGATCTGCAAGGGTGTGGATTGAAAGAGAGAGAGAGGGGGGGGGGGGGGTTGAGTGGTGTGTGTGTGTAACCGGGTGTGTGTGCACGCGTGTGTGGACGTGTGTATGGATAAGTGAATGAAAGAATGAAGGGTGTGCGCGGGAAGTACGTACACAGTTTTCAACACTCAGACTCACAGATGTATACGCATACCTTGAAATACACTTGGAATAATAGGCTGGGACACAAGTTAGCGTCCGAACACTACTGACGTAGACAGGACGGCAGAAGTAGCGGAACACTTTAACGTTTGCTGAGGCTGCGTTTACACGACAACGCTGGGGGCGAAAACGCAACAAAATCCTTTCGGATCCATGGTTCATTTACACGGTACGCAGAGCGAACCGTAAAAGTTGTACACCAAAACGGAAGAAAACCAAAATGCTCTGCCGGATAAATTTGGGTGTGTAAACAGTCGAAACTGTGTGCTGGCCTCGTTTTCCGTCACGTTTGTTTCGTTTTCGGCCGTTTACACGGATCCGACAATCCAAAAAATTGTTTTTACAAGTACAATTTTGACTTTAAGGCAAAAATTAAAATTTCACCAGTTGTAGTCTTCGGGGTGCTGAGTCGAATGGTCGTGGTCCGAGGAAGCTGAGACGCTCCCTTCCTACTTGAATCCCAATCGAACTCGCGCACTTCCACCGAAACTGGGTGACTGCGCCCTGCTAGATGGGGATTTGTATGCAAAATGTCACTAAAAGTGCCATTTTGTTCTTATAAAAGCACGGATGACCGCGATTGGCCCATGTGTTGTAGTCTTTTGGACGCTGAGTCGACTGGTTTTGGTCCGAAAAGGCTGCGATACGGCGTTCCTCCTTTATTCCCAATCGAACATGGTTGAAGAAGCGGTCACGTGCTCCTGCGTACACCAGTCACCTGGTCACCGTGCCTGCAGGGTACAATTTACTAGCCTGTTTGACCTTTTTTGGGTGCAGTCCTGTCACTCGAGTTGAACCCGAGTTGAACCTTGGTGTGAAAGTTGTCACCTGCTGGCGTGGTGACCAGGTGATTTGGGCACCCAGGACCACGTGACCGCTTCTTCAACCATGTTCGATTGGGAATAAAGGAGGAACGCTGCATCGCAGCCTTTTCGGACCAAAACCAGTCGACTCAGCGTCCCAAAGACTACAACATATTGGCCAATCGCGGTCATCCGTGCTTTTATAAGAACGAAATGGCGCTTTTAGTGACATTTTGCATACAAATCCCCATCTAGTAGGGCGCAGTCACCCAGTTTCGGTGGAAGTGCGCGAGTTCGATTGGGATTCAAGTAGGAAGGGAGCGTCTCAGCTTCCTCGGACCAAGACCATTCGACTCAGCACCCCGAAGACTACAACTGGTGAAATTTTAATTTTTGCCTTAACTTCCCCTTTAAAAACGATACAAACGGAGACCACCTCGGATCGGCTTTGGTAATGTAAACGTACGAAAACGAAAAAAGAAATGCGGGACTGAAAACGGAAAACTGGCCGTGCGTTGTCGTGTAAACGCAGCCTAAGACTGATCTTAGAGCCATGAACAGAAAGCACAATGTACAACCAGTCTATGTAGTTGGGGGAGAGGGGAAAAGAGCTTAGATACAGCTCAGGGTTTCACAACCTAAGCAATCATCCGGAAACCCTAAGAGTCTGCTTGTTCACCACCCCATGGTACAAGGAAGATCAAGCTCGCAGTATGGAGCATTCCTCGTTCGGTAGGTATAGCGCTATCGTCACGACGTTCTGTACCACGCGGCAGACAGCTTCCATATGCCAGCCTGCCTGCCCACCATACCACTGTGGGGCTATGCAAACCGCAGACGTGTCCCCATCGTTCTCACCTCGCTCTCGTGTCTCTGAAGGATGCTGGCCAGTCCATCCTCATGGCCCTCATAGCGATGCAGGGCCTTCTCAGTGCGACGGTTTGTTTCGTGTAGCAACTTGTTCTCTCTCCTAAACGAGCACCAGACATCAGGATTAAGAAGTAGAACAATTCTATTTTACGTTCTGAGGGGCAGTGGAGGGGGGGGGGGGAGGGGTTAGGTTGAAATGAAACTAATCCATTTCGGCTTTAAAAAATATCGATATTTACGAACCGCCCCTTACTTGGCTTGATTTGTGTGAGGCACAGTTCATTTGTAGGAGCTAAAACGCAACTAAGCTCATCCCTGGGTAATATCGGTTCTAAGCAGTGTCAGATGTTGGCATTGTTTGGCTCTGGGGAGCAACATGCAGTTGTGATGAAATACGGGTGCTATGTAATTATGCATTACATGATTTCTTACTCTCTTTCATCTAGATTCTTGACAAGGCTGCAGTGATACCGGAAAGTACCGCCAGAGCACCCCGTCTCGCGAGAGCGCCCACCGTGATTGTACAGCCAGGGAAAGGAAAATCATATGGCGGAGTGCAACGAAGTTTATACGGTGTGAGAACCTTAGTGTACTAAGGTCACACTAAGCAGGTTTTTGTGTGGAGCTTGTGTCCGCTCGAAGGTACAGATTGTCTGCAGAACGTGCAATATGTGTACAAAGTTCGTGTCGTATGACCTACAGACAGGGGACCACCTCCACAATACAACCATGAAAGGAGGAGATGGTGGGGCGCTCTGGCGGAACTTTACGGTACTTGTAGAACATATGTTTCAATTGAGCAGGCTTTTGAATCTGTGAGTCTATCTCAAAAGGTCATCAATACTCACTATGTTGTCAGCCCGTCGCAAGCAACACATCTACTTTTAGACGGTGAGAACGAATGGATAGACAACTGGACATCTGCTACTTCATAATAAAACCTTCTTATGTCAGTTCGTCAAACATCACAATTCCCTTACCTAGCCTCCTCCACCTGGTCTTTGACTAGCTTCAGTTCATTGCGGAGGGCAGCGAACCGATTGCGTTTGGCAGAGGTGAACCGCAGCGTGGTGTTGGTGGACGGTCCTGTTCGACTGGAAAAGCTAAGCGGAGACGAAGTCTGCAGGAAGGTGCAACACCGCGTGCGTCCAGGCAATTATGAGAGAGAGAAAAACTTCGGAGAGGGCTCGGAGAGAGAGAGAGAGATAGAGGGAGAGTGGCCGAACGGGAGAAACCTGAAGTCAAACCATGCTTCAAAAGCACTCCTTGTCCTGTTTTGACTCCTCTAGTCCTCTATGTTCAATTGCCAAATCACGCATCAGTCGCATGAGACTCTATTTAGCTGACATATGTGTACACACTGATAGCAGCTCAGAAGCGGTGTTGGAATTGCACGAGTCACACAAGACGGCAACAAGATGGCCGCGGTTGTAAAATCGAGCTCACTATGGCAAGACGGCCAAGTAGGTGCACGCATGCGCTCGGGCTAGATGAGGGGGGGCAAGGGTAGCTATGGAATACAATTATAGAGAATAAGTGCATGTACAATTACCCAGGCCAGCGTGATGTGTAAGAGAAGAAGAGGATGCAGGCTGGGAAAGGAGAAACGGTGAGGCTTACTGAGCTTTGACCCAGGCGCGTGCCCCGTATGGGTTCTTGGGTGCCCGGAACCCCCCTTTTTTTCAGCTCAAAATGCAGGATTTTGCTTCATCATTTGAAAAATTTCCCAGGGGACGCCCCCCCCCCCCCCTTGAAGGGCACCGGCGCACGCGCCTGCTATGACCTACATGCATGTGCAAGGGGGCATTCGAGTACACAGTTCATGCCGGGAAAAGGACACGCGGGGTGTCATGTGCACAGCGTCACTGGTGTGCAAGGTTCGTGCACGCAGGGAACTTGAGGAGATACGCTGGAAGGTACTCATATGCACAAGCTCACTTGAACGCATAGTGCAGGGTGCATAGTGCATAGTGCAGGGGAAGGAGCATGTATAGGAGAGTGGAGACCTAACAACCGTACCTAGAAAGCAATTGTATGCCATGCTTACCCGCCTAGTCTTTTGAGTCGATTGCCAACTGGTAGCGTTCTTCTTAGTATGACCAGCACCTGCACAATGATAACAAAAAAAAAGGTGGCATGGACGCAGCGAGTGAGATTTCCGGTCTTTGACCACTTTGGTGGTGGGTCTGATCTGCGTCAAGTGCCTCCCGTCGCATTAAGAGCTGCATTTGCGCCTCGATCCTTGTGGTTGAGGGCGGTGGCGTACCTCCAGACGTGGCAACCTCCGTCTGACTGGGTCCGACATGCAGGAGCCGTGATTTTGTACACCTCCGCATCCTACAAATCTCCATGATCACATGTTCAAGTTTCAAGGCCAACTTACCATATCCGGCGTTGCTAGTCTTCTTCTTCGCCGGTCTGCTCCTGCCCATGGCTGCCTCTGCCGCAGGCTGCGATTGACGCGCCCGAGCGGCAGCCCTGGGCTGCACCAGGCCTCCCTGCGTGTGCGTGCCGATCGGCGGCAGCACGACGCCCGCCGACCGACCGCCACCGCCATCATCGTCGTCGTCCCTGTCGACCGAGTGGCGGCTGGATGAGTACGATGCGAGTGTGTACGGCGTGGGCGAGCGTTTCTCCCGCTCTAGCTCCTCTTCGGAGTCAAAGTCGTCCGAGTAGGCGGTCGCGGCCGTCGCATCTCTGACCGTGTCGTTGTTTTCATCGTCCTCGCTCGAATCCAGTCGGTTACTGATGGACGAGCTCGTGCTGTAGTTCAGTGAGCCCCCGCCACTGCCGCCAATGTCGGCACGAGTGCCGTGCGAGTGCGTCGGGCGCCGGCCGGGGCTGGTCATCATAGCGTCCGGTTCTTGCGGTGTCACACGTGTTACTCGCGTGATTGCACTGTGTCCAGGGCTGTGTCCAGGGCTGTGTCCAGGGCTGTGTCCAGGGCTGTGTCCAGGGCTGTGTCCAGGGCTGTGTCCAGGGCTGTGTCCAGGGCTGTGTCCAGGGCTGTGTCCAGGGCTGTGTCCAGGGCTGTGTCCAGGGCTGTGTCCAGGGCTGTGTCCTGTGCTGTGTCAGACGTGTTTCTAGTGACAGCACAGATTCCAGAGTCGGGTCAACGGTACCGGATTCCGTGACGAGTCCACAGTAGTCAAGATGTAACCCGCGGTGACACGCACTCGCTCACACAGTCACTCACTCGGGCACCAGGTCGCAGACGACAATAGCGAAGCACTGGAATCACTGCCGGGACGAACACACCACGGCCCGTTCATTCGCCGCTCTCAGTGACCTGATATCCAGGGCGCATAAGCAGCAGCCACGGACAGCCCAGGTACTCCAGGCGACCGGGCCAGCGTCAGAAGTGATTTTAGTTCGACGGGCTAGCATACGTCCGCTGCAAACGAGCTTTGCGGCCGAATGAATGATCGATCGTCAAATATGCCACTTGTATCTGCTTGCAAGCCGAGCGCTCGTACAGCGTCAGGAGGACTATCGATAGGAAGAAATCAGTTCCTTGCAGCACACGATGAGAATTCAGATGCCAATGGAAAGCTCTTATAACATAACTTCATAAGAGTGAAATCCGCAAGACTTTATTAGCATTGGTGCGAGGCAATTCTATTTCACCAAGCAGGTCGTATGTGATCTCGGCGCTACGTCCGTCAATGTGTGGCTGCTGCTATCGGAGGAATTCGTGATCCTGCATCCAGCGCTCAAAACCTCCTATTCCTAGTCCAAGCCACACAATATTTGCTCTACCTCCGCTTGCTCACCGTGGACAAACACAAAACGAATCAAAAGCAGCGGACGCTTTCTCTGTTGCTTTTTGTGCTACAATCCTACATGTTATTGTTACTCATAGTGTCATACTATCGCGGTACCAGTAGATCTTATCTATGCTGGACTGGTTCACAAAGATTGAAAGAAGCTGCGACCTGCGAAGCTAGCGCAGCATGCAATGAGTCTGTGGCGGTATGTTTCTCTGCGAGATGGATAGCTACATAATACATACTCCGCGTAGTTTGAACGCTGACTTCCTCGTCGCCTAGGGGATCCTCGTTGTCCTGTCAACAGTGGTTAGTGTCACATCACGGTCCGGGTTGCTGTCCGCATCCGAGTTGTGTGCGATGCCGATGGCTTATCATGCCAGAGAGTAATAAAGTATCGGTATTTTACCACTCCCTGCCTCATACCACACACGTGACACAGTCACAGGTCAAAAATAGATCAAAAAATCGGAACGGAAGTGACGCAGTGTGTCGCACGGCGGTTGTACGCAGTTTGGTACTACACACGCGCGGCATCCATCCGGAACTCACTGCACTGCTCAAGCAAGCCGAGTTCGGAGTTCGAGTGTTGGACTTTCGTTGAGCAGAAAAGAGATACTGCTGAGAGTGGCCAAGCCACTGCAAACTGTCTTCCAATATATTTATTTTGACATTTCCTCCCCAGACTGACCAGAGGTCTACCTCAAGAGATGCATGCCGTTTCCTGACGTAAATGAAAGGTGCCAGCTAAACTTCATCGAAAACTGAGTTCAGTTGACGAACATTAATTTTCTCAGTGAGAAAATTTGAATTAGAAACAGCCGAAGGAAGATTCAGCTTTTGATTCCTGTTTTACAGCGAAGCAGGCGACCGCAATGGCGTCGCCGGTGGATGAAACGGGTAGCCCACTGGCCCGTGTGTGCATTCGCGGCTGCATTCCCGTGCAGCCAGAGAGCCTGGGACATTACATTCGCCTGAACGTCGGTGGCCAGCTGTTCCACACCACCCTGGACACGCTGACGAAACGCGACAGCATGCTGCGAGCTATGTTCACAGGCGAGGTCAAGGTCCTGGTGGATGCAGAAGGTAAGCGGCTTGCCTTCTTACTCTTAGCCTGAGCGTGCTTTACCACCGGCCAGGCTTGTGGGCAATGCGTAACAATGCACGAAAGCACGGAGCACTCTCTTGTCATTTCTTCAGGATTGTTGTTGATGATGATAGCTCAGGATATGCGGGTAAAGGCATCGGCACTCTCATCTAAAAATCAAGACTGTCTGCATTGAACAGGTGCTGAGCAGAAGTCAGTCAGGCCTCGGTATGCAGATCTCCATGTAGAGCAACATAGAATAGGCCTACACCGTTGCTCTGGACAGCCCTGTGTGTGTATGTGTGTGTGTGGGGGGGGGGGGGGGGTAGACTGGTTGAACAAATGTGCTCACACACACACACACACACACACACACACACACACACACACACACACACACACACACACACACACACACACACACACACACACACACACACACCTGGTAAAAAGTCCTGGTAAACACTGCCATTACGGTCACATGTCGCCCTGCGGGGCCGACAATATGGAACGACGAGCGACGGCAGTCCGCTGAGAGAGAAGTACGTCAGGGACTCAGGGACCATGTTCGAGAGAGCCATCTCTGGCAGCTATGGATCTGGCTTATCGGAAACGATTCCTCTCACGGCTTCCGCTTGAACTGGTCCATCACTCTCCACAACAGAGCGAACATTCCAGGAGCCAATGCTTAGAGTCGTTCCAAGTCGTTGTCTTCGTGCGGTAGTTTGCTCCGAGGTGGGGGCGACGAGGAGAGTGTCGGCATCGTAACTATCCGACCAAGTCTCCTGTCGGTGAAGACCCTACCTCAGGCACTGTTGGCCTGGACGGCTGGGGACACCCCAGGCCGTCCACAACGGCGAGAACAAGCACGGACGGGTCCAGAAACACGAGCGCAAAAAAAGTACGACCGTCCTCTACCAGAGCCGAGAACACACACACACACACACACACACACACACACACACACACACACACACACACACACACACACACACACACACACTTGTACTTGTTGCTCACTGCCAAAACTGGTCACGTGGGTCTCCCCGGGAGGGGGGAGAGAGACTCAAAAGGAATCTTGGAAAGATGACTCAATTGGTTATTGAACCGCCCAACGGACGACACCCCCTAAAATCCCCAAAACTCTGGGTGGACTTGAAAATGATCCCACTTATGGTCTCACCACACCTCAATAAGTGGGTGAGGACAAGGTGCAGAAAAAAGATTGACGGCATCCGGATATCCGTCCCGGGATCCAACTGCAGTTATCCCTGCCCCCAGTGAAGGAAATACAGTCGACCTACCCTTATAACGATATTAGCGTCAGACCGAGAAATATTGTTATAAGGGTAATATTGTTATAGGGGTAACTGGTTCATTTCATACACATATGTCATAATACATGGATTTTGTTCATTTTTTACGCTCTTCATAGCATCGTACATGCACATTATGTACATAGCAAGGTGCCCACTGTTAATGTTGCCCCCATTGCATTTCGTCATGTCCCAACGACTAATCAAGTGAAGCTTGCCCTACCTGGATAGTAGGCTCTACATATTCCCTGCTAGATATTGTTATAAAATGGAAAATGTCGATTGGTCAGCCCATTTTATATCGTTATAGGGGTAATATCGTTATAGCAATATTGTTATAGAGGTAAGGCATTGTATGCACAAGTCAATGGAGTGATTTGGTTTGGCAGAAAAATATCGTTATAAGGGTAATATCGTTATAGAGGTTATCGTTATAAGGGTAGGTCGACTGTACTTGCTACTAGTGTGGGTGGCTAAATCAGAGTGGATCTGATATAAGCTTCACTAGCACCATTGATTACACAAGAGTTAATCTAGCCAGAAGCAGTCCATGGTTAACAGGTATGTATACTTCAAATAGAAAGTATATGAACCCTGGAACCAGGGTTCATATACACACACACACACACACGCACACACACACACGCGCACACACACACACACACACACACACACACACACACACACACCATTTGACCATTTGACGCCCATCGCCAGAGGCGATGATAGCGATGCTACAGCAGAAGCCATAGCAACTTGCACCAGTCAACAGCACACACACAAACGCATACACGAGCGTGCACATACACACACGCACGCATGCACATAATCTCCTTCATTCTGTAGTCGTGTATGGGAAAGACAACCCTTTTCTTTTCATGCCTGTGTTTGTTCTGCATGTCAGGATGGGTGATGGTTGACCGAAGTGGAAAGCATTTTGGCACCATCCTGAATTATCTGAGAGATGGATCCTGTCCATTGCCTGGCTCAGAGGTAGAGTGTTTGGAGCTCTTCGCCGAGGCGCAGTTCTTCCTGATTACGGAGTTGATCGAGGTACGGTTAGTGTGTGTGTGTGTGTGTGTGTGTGTGTGTGTGTGTGTGTGTGTGTGTGTGTGTGTGTGTGTGTGTGTGTGTGTGTGTGTGTGTGTGAGCATCTGTGTGAGGGAGAGAGCGAGTGTGGATCTGCACGTGGGGGCGTCTGTGCATGAGAAAGAGAGAGAGAGAGACAGAGAGGGAGAGAGAGAGACAGAGACAGACACAGAGACAGACACAGAAAGACACAGAGAGAGATAGAGATAGAGACAGAGAGAGACAGAGAGAGAGAGAGAGAGAGAGAGAGAGAGAGAGAGAGAGAGAGAGAGAGAGAGAGAGAGAGAGAGAGAGAGAGAGAGAGAGAGAGAGAGAGAGAGAGAGAGAAAGAGAGAGAGAATGTGTGTGCGGGGGGGGGGGGGGGGAGGGTGGAGGGGTGCTCATATCTTCTCAAAGACTTACAGTATTACTAAAAGTTAAGTTCAAATCAATAAGTTGTCCTCTGTTGTTGTCTTGTCTTTGTTTCATCCACCATTCCCACCTGCAGGCACTCTCTGAGCAGGTTCTACAGCTGAAGGAGTCCTCACTGCCCATGTGCAAAGTGCCAATCATCACGTCAGTGGAGGAGCTGGACCGCGTCATGTCCCAGACCACACAGCCTGTCATCCGCTTCCTCTACAACCGCTCCAATAACAAGTACTCGTACACCGGGTAAGCTTAGTTCACGCTCAGTTCACGCTCAGTGCATGCTCAGTGTGCGCTAACTTGAAACTCCGTTCCTGCTCACTTCGCGCTCACTTCAAGCTCAGTTCCAGCTCAGTTCGGGGATCAGTTTGTGCTCTGTTTGTGCGTTGTGTGCTAACGTAACTGATGCCAGATTGTGCTTCCTATGGCGTTTGCTTGGTGTGAGTGAGACATCCGCCGTTGGTTATGAGCTGTAAACCGCCCGCTTGTTGAGAGACTTATCCCCTCTCCCCTGACTGACTTGTGAGGTCTGCATTCGACACTGAGGATATATGGGCGAAGTGGTGGCCTGCCGATGCGAATGTATTTGCTTGATGTGTTTCTCAACACGTCAGGTGACGCGGCTGTGAATCCGGCTTCCTTTACTTATTTCTTTTTTATGAGCTGTGCTCACCACTGCTGCCATTTGCTCAAGTTGCCGATACGGTGCTGTATAGTGCGGAGTCTCCGAAGCCGGGGAGGTTGTTGTCTACGCTTTTTGTCGTTGGTGTTCAACCTTGTGATCAGCCTCCGTGTGTGTGCGTGTTTGGGGTGCTTGTTTATAATACGTGTGTGCATGTATGTGTGTAGGTCATCCGAGGAGAATCTTCTGAAGAACATGGAGCTGTTTGACAAGCTGGCCCTGTGCTTTCAAGGCCGTGTCATCTTCATCAAGGATGTGGCCGGCCAGGACATCTGTACCTGGCACTTCTACGGAGCGAAGACCAAGCAAGCCGAGGTGAGTGTGACTGCATCAACGGTAGTAGAGTGCAGATTTTATGTGCACGTGTGTGTGTGTGGGGGGGGGGGGGGGGGTATGTGTTGTGTGTGTGTGTGTGTGTGTGGGTACGTGCTAGTGCATGTGTCAATCAACATAATACTATTTAAATGATTGATTATGCTGTCTGATGAGTGTTCTCACATGAAACTCCGAGTAACAGCGGAAAGAGATTTGTTTGTTTCATTGCTGTGTAATATTTAGACAACTGTAAATGATTGATTATTTGAAAGCCTGTTTGAACTGAATTCAGGGGGGAAAGGAGTCGTAAAAGTTCTTACAAGTTTGTACAACTCCCTGATGAGATCTAATCGTCATGCCAAGCCGAGGCGCGCCGCGTCAACTGTGTGTAATGAAGTCTTTTATGCAATAATCTGCATAACAACGGCTTCATACTCTATTGTGGGTGTGTGTGTGTGGGTGTATTCGTGTGTGTGTGTGTGTGTGTGTGTGTGTGTGTGTGTGTGTGTGTGTGTGTGTGTGTGTGTGTGGGTGGGTGGGTGGGTGGGTGTGTGTGCATGGGTGGGTGTGTGTCTGTGTACATGATGCTTTTAGGTGTGTTGCCAGAGCATTGTGTACGCCAAGGATCGTAAAAACATCAAAATTGATTTCCCCGAGGTGAGTGACCAAGAAAGACTAGCTGCTGGTTGTCTTGTGTTGATGGCCTGACTTCATGCTGGCAGCGACCATCATGCCGTCAGCATGGCTGTCATGGTTGCGATGGAGAGTGTTGCCGGAACGGCGTGTTCGTGACATGTATATATAATGTGCATGCCCTGTCGGGAACTAATTCGGAAAACTCATCATTAATTTTGTATGTTTCATGTGAACGCAATTTCGTGAGTGCTTCTGATGTCAAAATGTCTGCGTTAAAGTTCTCATTCCAGTAGGCAGTACAGTAAAATCTGTCAAGGCGACCACTCGGATAAGGCGACCACCTGTCCCAGAAGACCACTGCAATTAGGACCCAAGAATGCTATTTCCAGTCAAATGACCCTGGATAAGGAGACCACCTGGTAACAGATATCACATTTTGAAAGTCCGTTGAGCGGTCGTCTTAGACAGGTTTTACCGTACTTTATTTACGAGTTACCTACTTTTACCTGCTCTTTGTATTCCATGCAAGTGGTCTAAGACAAAGGACGCGCACGTGTATGTTCCATTCGGGTTGATCTGTGTGTGTGTGTGTGCCTGTGTTTGTGTGCATGTCTCTGTGTGTCTGTGTGTGTGCATGTGTGTATGTGTGTCTGTGTGTGTGTCTGTGTGTGTGTCTGTGTGTGTGTGTGTGTGTGCATGTGTGTTTACATCTGTGTGTGTGTGTGTGCGTGTGTGTGTGTGTGCATGTGTGTTTACATCTGTGTATGTGTGTGTTCTCTGACTGCAGGTACGTGTGTATGAGGAGGTGCTGCATATCATGCTGTTCGAGAACGCCACAGCGCAGCAAGTCATCTCGGCCAACAGCCACGGACAGGTTCGCAGTCGCCTGGAGCCCCGCAAGGCACTTACCAAGCTGAAGACGCACACCGAGGTACAGGAGGCGTCATCGGTGGGCTTGGAGGCCTCGACGTTGCTTGGTGACATCCGGGCAGGTATGTTCCCCGTGGATATGGTGTAGGTGTCGATGACAGGAGTGCGGTAGTTGCCATATCTCATGGTGTGGATTAGAGTGCTGTTTAAAAATGGGTTACTGTGGATATGATGGCCGTAGAAGTGTATGCGTTTGGGGGGGGGGGGCATGTGTGTGCGTGTGTGTGTGCCACGGACAGAGCCCCTGCATGTCTGTGGAATGTGTTTGTCATAATCAGTTGCGGTCTCCTCTCCTCTCATCTCCGCTCTCTCTGTCTCTCTCTCTCTCTCTCTCTCTCTCTCTCTCTCTCTCTCTCTCTCTCTCTCTCTCTCTCTCTTTCTCTCTCTGTCTCTCTCTGTCTCTCTCTCTCTCTCTCTCTCTCTCTCTCTCTCTCTCTCTCTCTCTCTCTCTCTCTCTCTCTCTCTCTCTCTCTCTCTCTCTCTCTCTCTCTCTCTCTCTTATTTACATCTGCTTGTGTGTGTGTGTGTGTGTGTGTGTGTACATGTGTGTGTGTGTACGTGTGTGTGCGTGTGTACGTGTGTGTGTATGTAGCCGAACGATCTGATGCCGGTGCTGCGTCGTCCGGCAACGAAGGTCTTGACTGCAGTGACGAGGATGAGGTAGGTCTTCAGTTACTGTACTGTCAGTCTGTTTGTTTACCTAGCAATGAAGTCCTCGGTCTTCTTAGGGTTTTCTCTTTGGCACAGACTTTTCCCTTTCAGTCCTATCTTGGAAGTCAACAAAATATCCGGATAGGCGAGGGAACCGGATAATCGAACACACATACTGTATGTATGCATGACATATGCTGTAAATCGGTAACCAACGATTTTCTTCCGGATGGTGAGGAATCCGGCTAAAAGAGGACCGGATAAGCGAGGTCTGACAGTACTGTTTTGCAACTTGACTTGTATCCTACAGCTGGTGCGTGGCTGATGTACAGGGCTGCTCAACGATATCCGATCGCGAGAGTCAAGCACGCGCTGAGTGCAGTGTAGCCCTATACCTGTGAACCGGGCTGCGAAATGGTGCGGGACGCCAACTCGACCTGTGCGATCGGATTTCATTGAGCAGCACTGTAGCTTGCCGTACCCCCACGCAGAAGGATGTAAGCAAGTGTCACTTCTAGAATCGTATGCACACTTTTCACCATGTTGTGCATGCACACGTTCTGCTCAGGTTCCTTGTGTGCGGCCTGAGCCGTACATTGTACGCATGAAGCGAGGCCACGCGCAGCTCTCCTTCAACTCCAAGCTTCCCAACGTATGTCGGATTCCCATAGTGACCGAGGCGGGCGAGTTTGAAACGATTCGAAGACAGACGTGGCGGGTGAGTGCTCTGTACGTGTGTGTGTGTTTTTGGGGCGGGGGGGGGGGGGGGGGGGTGACCAATAACTTGCATTGAAAGACAGCGAAAGGGTGCCCTGCTGATGGAAGTGTGCAGGTCTGGGGTGTCTGAACAAGGGATTTTTCACTGCCAGAATACTTCTACTGTATCCCTGATGATGCCGCCCTGGGTCACAGAAATCTGGAAGCAATCGGTGTACATGGTGTAACCGAAGACTTTGTGTGTTATGGGTTGGAGGTGTACCGAAAAGTTGACAAGGCTACAATGGAGCTTCAAAGTTCTGAAAAATATTTGAATTTGAAATAATAACTGTTGGCCGTGCACTGTTCTGATTGGCGTGTATCTGTGTGTGTGCGCGTACGCGTGTTTGCATCTGTGTGCTCTCTTAGCCCATCATTCGCTTCGTCTACAATCGCTCACGCAATCACTTCTCGTACACAAGGTGAGGGCAGGTGTCAGCGACGGGATGTAGACTAGGATTGCTGAGGCAAGACGTTATTGTTTGCGCCATAGTGGACGTCATCTATGCATTACCTTGTGTAGACGTTTCATCCGTATGTGGACGACTTGCTGCCTATTCTGGGTCTTTGCTACCCGTTTTGCTGTGTGTATAGGTTATGCGATTACATCATCATATGAGATACTTTGGCACAGCGATTCACTAGCGACTCATGCTGTATACATAGCGTCCATAGTCCGTGGTTGGATTCACCCTCACTTCCTTGTATTGGCTATTTTCATTATGTGCCATGAAGTGCAGACAGTAAATAAAATTAATAAGCAGTTCCGCTGACCCCCCCCCCCCCCATGATGACATCATTCGTTTCGCCTCTATACATGTATTGTTTATCAGCACTGGATCTTTGAACTGGGGCATCCTCTATACAAAGTGCACGAGCCCCATCTGCCTTGCCGCCCACCATGATTCGATCTTTGCTGAACCATTCTTCACTGAAATATGGTCTTGTCTGTGATATCTCCTCCCTTTCGTTGTCCTCCAGCTCATCAGATGAGTGCTTTCTGAAGAATGTGGAATTGTTCGATCGCCTCTCCGTTTGTTTTCAAGAAAGAGTTCTCTTTGTCAAGGACGTCATAGGCAATGATGTCTGTTCGTGGTAAGTTCTCTCTCTCTTTCTCTCCAACACACACACACACACGCGCGCGCGCGCGCACTCGGACCTTCTTTGAGAAATCAAGGCTGTCTGGCCAGTCCTGAGGGTTGTCAGATTTCTTAGGCAGGCCCTTTTACCCCGTCCTGGGGCTGGCCGGATTTCTTTGGTAGACCCCTACCCCGTCCTGAGAGTGGTCGCATTTTCCAGGTTCCACTGTAGTGCCTGTGGTCAGTCAATGTGGATTCCCCAGGTGCTAACACAGTTTATCCAATGATACTGTTAGACTTCAGTGCAGCTTACTGCGAATACTAGGGCATACTACCGTAAAAGTCCGTAAATAAGTACGTACTTCGTATTTACTTTCGAATTTAGTGACCACACCCGTACTAAGTTTCGGGCGGGTACTGACTTTCGGGCACGAACTAACTTTCGGACCTGACTTGTGTGTAGTGGAGAAGTCATTTTCAGGTCGATGTACATGCTACATGCAGCATGTGCGCATCGTACCGGTACTTATTTCGGGCAGTATGTTTATCGGGCTTGACTTGACTTCAACAGACAGAGCCAAAAGAATGAAGGGGGTATTTCTTTCGGGCAGGTACTTATTTCCGGACTTTTACGGTATGTGATGTAAACTACAATGTGGAACCACCCTGCGATACACCCTGTCGTGCTCAACCTGTTTTGCTGTTTTCTCTCTCTCTCTCTCTCTCTCTCTCTCTCTCTCTCTCTCTCCCTCTCTCTCTCTCTCTCTCTCTCTCTCTCTCTCTCTCTCTCTCTCTCTCTCTCTCTCTCTCCTCTCTCTCTCTCTCTCTCTCTCTCCTTCTCTCTCTCTCTCTCTCTCTCTCTCTCTCTCTCTCTCCTTCTCTCCACATGCACGCACCCAGGTACTACTATGGCCATCACAAGCTTCGCTCCGAGGTGTCCTGCCAAACCATCGTGTACGGCACCGACAAGCGGCAGCTACGCATTGACTTTCCCGAGGCACGCATCCTGGAGGAGGTCATCAACATCATGCTCTTCCAGGACCACACTGCCGAGTCTCAGCGTGCCATCAACGCCATGGATCGCATGGCCACGGTCAAGCGTAACTTTGCCGGCAAACGCAACATGTGCTCCGATGACAGCGAGTAAAGCGTTGCACGATGACTGTTGCGGCACGACTGACACACGCGCGTTCTGCTGCTGGCAAGCGGATCGACTGCAGGTACAGAGCAAGGCATTTGTGTCCTTACCTACAGTACGTTCTGTTCTGCACAGAAGTCTACTGTACCCGATGTGCTGACCCTGCACCTTGCAGTGTACCCGGGTTGTTTGACCCATGTTTCGCGCACACCCCTGCCCTACCCTGGGACGTTGGCCCCCGAAGCTGGGACATTTAGCACGTCATCATTCCCAACCAACCTCGCACAGGCAACAGCACACTGGACTTGCCCGTTATAAACTCTACGGGAACTTGACTGGTGATGTTCCATGCAGTTTGAATTTGGCGTGCCGCTCTTGCCGCTCGTCCTGCATGGCACTCCTGATTTCCATCACCTCCTCATTGCCATTATTCACCCGTGTGTCGTGGGGAGTGCATCACCTACCAATCTGTAGGCAGTGCCGAGTGACGCATGCCAGTAGCTGTAACGTGCACAGACGATCGGTGCTGCTCCGGCCGGCCGGGCTCGGCAACGTCACGCAGCCATCACATCGTCATGACTGAGCGCCGCGGATTAACACGCCGTGCGCGTGCAGTAACCCTGAGGCACACGGCGGGCTTCTGTCTGGGGAATTCCCCTACGCTGACGTGTGTCTCCAGCTGCACACACCCTGGGCTGATTCTCGTCGCTGTTGTTTCCCTCGTTCTCCTCCCCGTGCATGATCGTATTGCATGCCGGCTTCTACTTTCATTTTACTGGCGTGCAGTCTGCAGCTACTGCTGTTAGCCTGGTTGCATTGTAGTAAATTGCCGTTGGGCTGTACTCATAGTTAAATTATTCTCATTTACATTGTTTTACTCTAGGCTCGCGCCATGTGTAGTGTAGACATTCTGTGTTCGTATTTCATTAGCCCTTTCCATTGCTCAGTTTTATACACTATCTCCCTAGGCCCTTTCTATTTTTACATCGACATCTGCCTGTATATTCCAACCATGTGATAGTTCCCGTCTAAAAACTCCCAGATCTCCATGATGCTAAGCTTTATTAGGATTTTTTTAAATATTGAAGTTTATTTAGAGGGGACGACTCTTGCTACTAGTATTTTCTGTGATATTCGATAAATGTAAAACCTTGAATGTGATCTTCCGGTATTAAAATTTAAAACTTGAAAAAGCGTGTCCATGTGCCGCATCTTTATCGAGAACCATGTGCTCCCGTCCATTTGTTGGTTCACGGTGCAGCATGCAAGTGTGTGTCCGCATGCCATACTCACTCAATCACAATTCAAAAGGCTGGGCTTTTTCGAACAGCACAGAATGCTTGTGTTTTATTTGACGACTCCCTGGTGGAGGGCAAGATCACATTGAGTCTGCCTGGCCCAACGGTCTGACCTGAAGGCTGTACGCCTGTTGTAAAGATGTTCATCATGGTACTGTACGAGTATTTGGGAACGCTTCGACTTCAGAGTGGCACACAGTCGGTCTATTCTTGAAACTTAGATGTGCATGGTTCCTGGCTCTTGCCTCACCTTTCACACAGTCCTAACATTTTGGACAAAAAGGAGAAATTACAGTGGCTCACCATCCGAGTTCCACTTCTAAAAATTTCCTTTAATATTGATTTGTTGCAACATGCGGACAATAATACCAAGAGTTCATACTGTAAATATACAAAATTTCGGCGCTGCAAAATTTTGGCACTTCACGATTTTTGACATTTCGGCGGCGATTTATTTTCGGCGTGGGGTAGAGGGCATGGTATAGTGCGACAGATGCTGTGAAAAATTTCATCGGCGTTTTAGTAATTTAGGTGTTTTGGGTCGGTGCCGAATATAGCCGAAATTAAATAGCTGCCGAAAATTTGTATATTTACAGTAACTATGGGGGTTATGAACTCTTGGTAATGCGGTTCACGCCGGTCAGGGAGTCATACAAACCCTTATAATTCCCTGGTTCAGGTTCATGTACATCTTGTGAGAAGAGAAAGAAACAGACCCAAGAGGTGATATGCACACACACACACACACACACACACACACACACACACACACACACACACACACACACACACACACACACACACACACACACACACACACACACACACACACACACACACACACACACACACACACACACACACACACACACACACACACACACACACACACACACACACACACACACACACACACACACACACACACACACACACACACACACACACACACACACACACACACACACACACACACACACACACACACACACACACACACACACACCATGTACCATGTACCATGTATAAGCCTGTCGCAAGAGAAGCACGCAAATCTGCAAATGCACCGGTTGTGCACCCACACATTTTCTCTTATAGCAACGATAGCGGACCCGATTCTGAACGAAACAGATCAAGACAAGCGCCAGATAACTGTCTAAATCCACACAACTGGCAAGCACACACACACACACACACACACACACACACAGATTCAGGCATGCCCATCGCCGAAACGATGATAGCGAACAGCCATGTTAGACATAGCAACTTGTGCTGGGATTACACCATTCAGCAGCTTGCAAGGCTGATGAATTGACCGCCACTAATTCACACACACACACACACACACACACACACACACACACACACACACACACACACACACACACACACACACACACACACACAGACACATACAGACACAGACACACACCATCCAGTATCCACGATTCTCCTGTAGACTGTAGCAGGCTGCACAGCAGCCGATTGCATACTAATGCCATGTCGACATGTCGCTAAGAGTTCAGATAAAGGTCCTACATGTACGTGTACATTTTTCAAGAAAGATTTCAAAGTAGCAATATGGTTAAAAAATAATAGTGAACCATGATTAAATAACTCAGAAGTCAAGTGAGTCTTTTTCCTAAGTTTTCGTGCGGGTCATGTTTTATGAGTATACAAGACGGGGTTCAGTATGTACAGACGCGGTGTGTGGATCAGCAGCTTTGTACACTCGCCTATGTACTGTGTGTGTGTGTGTGTGTGTGTGTTTGTGTGTGTGTGTTTGTTTGTGTGTGTGTGTGTGTGTGTGTGTGTGTGTGTGTGTGTGTGTGTGAGAGAGAGAGAGAGAGAGAGAGAGAGAGAGAGAGAGAGAGAGAGAGAGAGAGAGACAGTGAGAGAGAGAGAGTCACACCAGTGTGAAGTTCCACTCGGTAGTTATTCACTGACCACCGGTGCTTTTTTGATCGAGAATAGCCTTAGCTTCATTGACCTTCAGCGCCATGTACGCTGATCCACCTCGATCTGGATGATTTATCAGCATCAACCGTTTGTGTGCTTTCTTTACAGAGTCCTTGGACGACGTCGTACTCACTCCAAGAATCTTGGCCGCTTCAGCTCGTGACATTTTCACCTCGAATCCACCTTTATAGTGTCCACTGCCGAAGATGTCATCCATGGACTGCTTGAACCAGTTGGCCTGTGCTTTTGCGGCCGCCCCTGCGCCTGCAGCAGCTCCGGCTGCATCTCCAGCAGCGCCTGCCGACCCTGACGCTGCTTCACCATCGCCTGCTGCTGGTGGTGGAGTCTGTGGCGCGGCTCTCTTCGCAGCAGCCTGTGCCGCAGCCGTGGCCCTCGGTAGGTTGCGAGTAACAGCTCTGACAGTGGCCGCTCCTGTGGCCAGTGCCAAGCCAGCTACAATGAGGCTCGACATCGCAACTTTCTTCCTGGAATGAGAGAAATCAGAATCTTCTTGTTTACTTTTCTTTTTGCTGGCAGCATGACTTTGCATTGATCTTTTGCGCTGTTCGTTGTGCAATGTGCCGATAACCATGACAACCTCTACGTGCATGACGCAATCCACAATCAGAATGATGATGTCACCGTCACTGAAGCGTTTCGAAATCCGGCCGCGCCGGTGGCGCCGTGGGTTGTGACGTCATGACATGACCATGATGACCATCGTGACATCGGCGCATCGCCCAAATCATCGTTTCTATCTTCAAAAAGACAAAACTCCTCACGCTCAGCCTACAACCTCTGCGTCTCATCTCCCTTCAAAGTCAAGTCAAACTCAAAGCCAGCAAAATAGAAAGGTTCATTTATTTGGGCGTGCGAGTTGGTGACTGGGAGAGGCAGTTCGAGCTGCTCATTAGACTTCTATTGCATTCCTTCCATGTGGAATTTTCTGAACAGCTGTAATTAGAGTGTAAAGTCATTGTTTTCTTTTCTTTGAAAAGTGCTGAAGAATTTACTGGTAGTGAATTTATCACTTGAAGAAGCGGTTTGAGAAGGAATGTGCTAAATCGGAAATCGTAATGGCGTCTACCAGTGTGTTGTTCGGCGTGTTGGTCACGTTGCTGTCTTTGACGCTGGTAGCTGAGGTAGGTGACAGCATCAGGTTCAGCAGTGTAACTGTTATGCTAGAATTGTTTACGTACTCTGCGATACGATATGAGCACACTTCAGGTCGTTCGTAGAATCTGCGGAATGGGGAGTGTGCGTTGTGATGTCCTGAATACTCAGGGATACACACACATGCACACACACACACACACACGCACACACACACACACACACACACACACACACATACACACACACACACATACACACACTCTCTCTCCGCCCCCCCCCCCCCCCTCTCTCTCTCTCTCTCTCTCTCTCTCCTACCTTGAACCTTGAACGCCCATTGCTGTAGCAATGATAGCGATGGCTTCCTCACGCTGAGGCTCTAAACTCGAAATCTGCAGTATGGCGCATGCTGCTTGAGGTCACCAGGACGACGGAACACTCTGTCACAGCGGTAGTTAGGGCACGGGATGTCTGGGGCTTCCTTCTCGACTCTCTGTCGACAACACTGAAACCAGGCGGCGGATCTCTCCTGCGCTGTGTCATACCAGTCAGTTCAGACAGACCGATGACAGCAAAGCACACCACACACGCACACACACACACACACACACACACACACACACACACACACACACACACACATACACACACACACACAAGCACAAACACCCAGACACACAAGCACACACACGTGCCTGCTATCATTTCGAACTCCATAATGCTATTGGACAATCAAGGATAATCTGTACAACCAATGCTCTGAGTGGAAAATAGCAGAGTGTGCTGTAAAACATTACATCCTATGCTGCTAAATACCACGTCATGGTTCACACCTACAGTGCACGCCTTTTCTCTCTAGCTCTTCTCTTGTTCCTTCTCAATACTTACTGCTATCCCTATTCCAAGTATACGCCCGGTTCCAAAATAACGCCCGTGCCCTTGTATACACCCAGGAAATCGAGGCTGCTATTCTATACGCCCGGGGCCTATACACGGGCTTTTACGGTATTCACTTAAATGTGGGGCTTTGAGTAAAACAAGTTGACCTACAGTACACTTTTTGCCTGTTGAATTGAATGTTCTGACCTGTTGTACACCTTCATGGTCGAAGAGAGTACATTAGCGCCGTGCTCCGCAGTAGAGTGAATTGCTTGCACTGTCACGGTGAGGTGATGGCCCTGCGTGAAAACTTGGAGAAAGTGGAAACACGTTTGCAGGGAAAAGATCATTTTGGTATAATTGCTGGGACTGAGTAATTCGCAAAAGACCGCGTTGGAGTGTGCGAATTCTTTGAAAGGCGCATGTGTGAAATTTATTTCTCTACTTTCCTTTAGTAGCTATCGCGTTCATGCCAATTTATGACAGTGTAGGCAATTTGTTCTGTTTCAGTGAGATTGTCCATAGGGAACAGCTGTTTTCTAGGTCAGAAATTGCTTTTTGTAGTGGAACTAGCTGTTTGGGGTTGGTGGCAAGGACAATATCCCGTCCTATGCCAGATAGTGGTGTGTAGTTGAACATGCCCAGGAGTAGGCTTGCCTCTGTTCCAGGGCTGCACTCACCTACGTAGGAGCTACTTCACCTTGGGTTATGGCCTCCTGTTCTGGGGGCAGCACAATCACGTTGCTTTAGCTAGCGAAACATTCGTGCATTCCTGGCAACCCCCTCAGTATCAGCAGCTGTGCAGCACCAGTTGGACGCATGCTTTGACTGCTGTAGTACGCACCTCTCTAGCATTTGAAAATGCTTGTATAGCTGTTGATGATTGTAACATTGTTTCCCTGCTGTTTTGTGTGCATGCGTGCGTGCATGTGTGTATGTGTGTGTGTACGCGTGTGTGTGTGTGTGTATGTGTATATGTTTGTTTGTTTCGTCGTGACTGGCTGTGCCTCTGGGTGGGTTGTCGTTGGTCTGTTTCCAGGCATCTGTGGACATAACCAAGGACTTTCGTTGCCGATGCGTGTGTCCAAAAGGTCTGGACCAGACGAAGAAGCGTGCTGTGTTCATCGAGAACGAGGCAGACCCAAGGCAGTGGTGAGTTCTTGCTGCTGGTATAGGATTAGTCACCGTGTGCATGTGTGTGTGTGTGTCTGCGCGCGCGCGCGCGTGTGTGTGTGTGTGTGCGAGTGTGTGTGAAAACCCGAAACCTACTCACATTCCCTCTACTGTCGTATGTCAGGGGCGTCGCACACGGTACGGTCACTACGGCATTGACCGCACCACTATTTGCCCCGAGCACCCCGTGAATAAATAAAATGCACTGATTTGGGTTCTAAATTTCCAAAATTTTCGGCTGAGCCACCCCTCCCCCACGAGTTAAATTGTTCTTCAGCTGGCTGACCGTACCACACAAAATTACCTTCCGACGCCCCTGTATGTGCAAACTGTCCACCATACATAATGCATTATTGTTGCTTGTGCAGCCTCAGCAAAAGAAATTAAAAAACAAGCGAAATATTCTTGATGTACGGTACTCGAAGTATTTATTTTTAGTTCTTCAAGTGAACAGGCCCCTCCGATGCCTTCTCGTCCGACCAGTGCTCTAGCTCCTGCTAAGTTATAAGCCCATTGTGCAATGACGTAATTTGTACCATAAACACCCCGCACAGCCACCTGGGCATGGTCGTCTGGGGTGTTGAACAGTGCATTCCTGATCCCAGTGTACTCACATAACACCCCACACAGCCACCTGGGCATGGTCATCTGGGGTGTTGAACAGTGCATTGCTGATCCCAGTGTACTCACATAACACCCCACACAGCCACCTGGGCATGGTCATCTGGGGTGTTGAACAGTGCATTGCTGATCCCAGTGTACTCACATAACACCCCACACAGCCACCTGGGCATGGTCATCTGGGGTGTTGAACAGTGCATTGCTGATCCCAGTGTACTCACATAACACCCCACACAGCCACCTGGGCATGGTCATCTGGGGTGTTGAACAGTGCATTGCTGATCCCAGTGTACTCACATAACACCCCACACAGCCACCTGGGCATGGTCGTCTGGGGTGTTGAACAGTGCATTGCTGATCCCAGTGTACTCACATAACACCCCACACAGCCACCTGGGCATGGTCATCTGGGGTGTTGAACAGTGCATTGCTGATCCCAGTGTACTCACATAACACCCCACACAGCCACCTGGGCATGGTCATCTGGGGTGTTGAACAGTGCATTGCTGATCCCAGTGTACTCACATGCATCACTCATACCTTCCATATTTGGCAATGCGCAATGGGCTTATTGTGGACATTGAAATCCGGCGGAATGACCGGGGCCCGACACCTTTACTGCTCTTAGCGCGTACATACCGGTACGCTGTACTTCACGTACACGTTTTAAAAATGGACCAGCAGTGCTCATGGCTGCAAGGCCAGCACCCCGTGGCCGCTTGACTTCTCAACGGCGCTCAATTATGTGCACAACAGTACAGCAGGCGACACAGTACACTATGTGTGTGTGTATACTTGTGCTATTGTGTGTTGTGTGAACAGCGAGTGCAACAACGTCGTGCCCAATGCCACCATCGAGTTCTGCCTGCAGTGCAAGTGCCAAGTGGAGTCGATCAACAGCTGGATGATAAAGGTAGGCTTGTGCACTGAGTCCACTGACAGTGTGTGCATTGGTGTGTGCTCAGCTTGCTGACTGGCTGGCTCGCTGGCTGGCTGGTTGGCTGTGTGTCGATTTTTTCACGGTTTCAAGTACAGTCCCTTTCGGCTATAGAGTGACTGGGTATAAGAATATATCGGCTACAGTCATATTGGTACGAAATATCAAAAGCAAAACGTATTTTATCCAGTAAAAAATATCACTATAACCAATATTATCGGATGTAATGATATATCGGACAGTATGATGGCAACAAAGAATCAAAACATGCATAACACACTACATTATTATCGGCTATAGCGATAACTTTAAAATACATGTTGCAATAATAATTATCAAAGGCCCTATTTTTTTACTTTCTTCACGTTGCTTATTTTTATAGTGATACATGTACAATGTACATGTACATAACAGAATTTTTTTTATGGAAATGCGGGCACTGTCAACTATGCAGCATGCTCATTTGTCATAATGCCATGCTGGAAGTATTTCCTTGCCTTTCATGTGTCGAACGAAGAAAGAAGAAAAAAATCGATCATATCGCATATAATTATATTGTGATGCATCGGTTATAGTGATAAAATCACGGAAATCAAAAGGGTACGCTATAGCCGATACAGACTGTACTAGTAAAACCTACACCAGGCGAGCACTCGGACAAAGCAACCACCTGGCCCAGAAGACCCCTGCAATTAGGACCCAAGAATGCTATTTCCAGTCCAATGACCCTGGATAAGGAGACCACCTGGTAACAGAGACCACATTTTGAAGGTCCCTTGAGCGATCGCCTTAGACAGGTTTCACTATACAGTGCGTATCGGTTGTGGTGTGGTCGTGTAAAAGAATATACTGCCTACAAGAATGAACTCTCATATTTTCATAATCATAACATGGGTTTCATGTGTATATTTATTCTTACAAGCAATGTTATCGTGTAATAGAATATATCGGTCCTAAGAATGGACTTCGTGTAGCAAAACATGCCAGATCAGTACAAAGTGTATCGCCTGTAGTAATAACATCTGCCCGATACAGTTCTGAACCGACTCGAATTGCATCATATAATGCTGCAAGTGCATCTGTTGTCGTCATGTAACTCATGTTGCTCAGCCACATGGTGAACCTATGCAGGCTATGGCCCAGTATGGGACTACTTTGGAAGTACGAGCAACCGCATACACAGCAGCACTACTTTTTTCGTACGTTGCATGTATGATGATCTTCCTGGCTATGCGCACATGCAAATGATACGTCACACTATATTTATCGCGTGTAAGAAATATCGGAAATAAGAATAGAAAGTCGTTTTTCAAACACCCACGCTATAACCGATACCTACTGTACGTGGACTGTGCTGTTCAATGAAATCCAGTCAAAGAGTGAACGTCACGCCGGACGCTGTGCAGCCCTAGACCTGCAAACACCGGGATGTGAACTGGTGCAGGGCGCAAACTCGACTCACAAGTTCGGAATTCTTTTGAGCGGCACTGTGCTAGTTCTGTGTGCTTGAGCGTTGGGATTCGCTGTCTGTGTGCACGCATGTCACGCCTGTTCCCGTCTGTTCATCTCTCCGGCTCGCTCTCACTCACTCGCACATACACGCACACACGTCTGGGCTCTGAGAGCAGTAAGCAATGTATATAAATGACCACACGATATCGTAGATTTACAGCAGCATACGCATGCTATGGTTCTGTTGTTGGCCATCTAGGCAAGATGGCTAACTGGTGTTTTCTCTTTCTCCACACGATGTCCAATATACGAACATGTTCAGTGTGTGTTCCTGACTGTCGAGGGACAATTCTGTTAAGTTCTCCTTGTCTCCTGTTCTGTGCCTCCTCTACAGTCAATTATCGTACTGATTCTGATCTCCTTCGCCGCTCTCATTGGCGTTGGCATTTGGCAAATTGCCATGGGTATCTATCAACGACGACGAGCTTCAGTGTCTGTTTCCGCACATGACGTTATCCTCCCGGTATGTCTCTCAGTTATTTCTCTCCTTCTCTCTCTGTCCCTCCCTCCATCCGTCCCTCTCTCTCTCTCTCCCCTCCCTCCCTCCCTCCCTCCCTCCCTCCCTCCCTCCCTCCCTCCCTCCCTCTCTCTCTCTCTCTCTCTCTCTCTCTCTCTCTCTCTCTCTCTCTCTCTCTCACCCACACCCACACCCACCCCCACACCCACCCCCCCACACACACACGCACACACACAGTGTGCTTATGTTTGATCCGTACAACTTCTTCTGTGTTGTCTCACGCGCAGGGTGATGAGTACAGCATCAGCTCGGATGAACGCGCCTTGACCCCCGTCGCCGAAGTCGAAGCCAGCCAGGACTTCGTGTTGCACAACCGTGATTCTGGTCGCGAGGGCGCGTCTGGCTCTAGCATCCAACGCTTTGGCCGTCGTGTTCAGGATACCATGCTGGGAGCGCAGCAAGAAGTACAGCGACAGCGTGATTACGTCTACAACCGTCACGCTTTGCTCAGCTAGTGCGCCCTGTGTGTCCCTCGCATGCACTTGTGCATATGAGTGCCGTATGCGTTCTGCACACAGCCGTCACGCTCTATTCAGCTAGTGCTGCCTGTGTGTCTCTCACGCGCACGTGTGTGTGCGTATGCGTGTGCCTTCTGCTTGCACGTGCACACCCACATGTGTATGTACATTGGCAGTGCGTTGCAGTTGAGAAAGGCCTGCTCTCGCCATGCGCGGTGTGTTACTTATTGCTAGCAGCAACTATGCATCGTATACTGGAGCCCCGCTGTAGGGTTAATGGTACAGGATCATGGTGGCCTTGACTTGCTTTTAACTTTTTAGGATAACTGCTATCTGATCTGACTGGTTCTTGCGCGCGTGTGTTTGTGCGCTCGCGGTGCACGCACGCTTTTCCGAGCGCTCCTCCCGCTTCCTGTCAGAGATGCTATCTGTCGACTTGGAGCCATCCTTCTCAGACTCTCTCTAGATCTATCTATCTCTACGCTGGGTGAAGTACTGTTGAATCCGGCATTGCATAGAGGTCGGTGGCATCAGCACATGTGCATAATTGCCAAAACGCTCGCTTTCTTTCTCTCCACGTTGTTTAGCCTTTAGGCGCTTTGAATTATCTATTTATACTCGTAGGGTTAGCTGCTTCGGTGTCTAGGGTTTTAGATGTTTTTGGTTCTGTGTGCTGCTCGTCTTCTGCTTGATATGATTGCCAATTACCTTGGGAATTGCCACTTCCATTGCAATTCCTATTGGGACTTGGTTGTTAGCGGAGGAACTTCATTCGGACATGAATGTTTTGTTGTGTGTCTCCTACGTGAGATTACTGATACCGTCTTTTATTCTGTTCAAGTCATTGTTTTGATGACTGTGATGGACGTTCCGATTTTATTTTTACTTGACTTTTAATTTTTGACTCTGAATTGATCATCTGTGTGGATGTGCGTGCGTCGTTCCTTGTCGAAACAACCCGGGATGTTTGAAACTTCAACAGAGTGTATACATTACCCTGCGGGGGACTACGGCCATTTTTGCCGACTACGAGACAGAAGAAGCACTAGCTACACTCCATCACACATGCAGCCAGCTGGCCCTACCACCCGCAACAAAGAAGGCAACACAGCGGTAGGAGACATTCTGTTGTTGTGTCGTCTGCACCACCTGCTTAGTGCGTTCGTTTTCTTTTGGATTGAAACTGCTGTGGGAAAATCTCAAGCCAGAAATGTAAACAGTAAAACGGAGTAAAAACTAAAAATGCAGTTTCTCTTCTTCGCCTTCGTCACCTCATTCTAATAATTATGGGTAATTGCAATAGTCTTTCTGACATATTATGGTACTTGGGCAAAGAATATTGAATACTTGTACGATGCTTTACTGGTAGTCCGGAAGTCTGTTGCGCACAAGTAGTGTGTTAAATAATAGGTTTGGTCCTCAAGGTCACCCAATTGATTTCGAAAATCATATTTCTAATACCAAGAGTATAATGCTCATGGTAACGTTAACACAAGATTGGAAGATATCCGGGGTTAAGTTCCCTCTCCATTAGCATGCATTAACGTTAGCATTAGCTGGCCGCGGAGCCCTGTGTCATCCATTCGGGGATTTACCCGTCCAAGTGTCATCCATCCGAGGAGCTACCGCGGCGTTGCACTTTTCTCCTTGCCTTCCTCTTTCTTGCACGACCTGCTGCTGCCCGCTTTTTGCTCGGCCCGTTGTCTGACCCACTGCCGCCGGGCGAAGAGAGTACATCCTGCTTGGTCGGACGCTGCCGACGATTGCCTCCCCGGGGCAATGCCTTGTCTTGATTCGGACGTGTCCTCGAGGCAGCATCATCACCAACGCTGGCGTCTGGTCCGGTTTTTGCTACGGATTTGCTCTGCTTGCTCTGCGTAGCGGCAGCGTCATTGTCCGACGACTCTGGTGTCCTGATGCGCGCCGCCGGCTTTGAGCGTGTCTTGCTGATGGGGTGTCCGCCGTTATCGCTCTCTGAATCGCTATCCCGGCGTACCTTGCCGGGTCTCTGCCGTTGTACGCGTGCCTTTGCACGTTTCGGTGTCCTTTTCGCCTGCTCGCGATCGGAATCGTCAGACTCGGACTGCCGTCTCCGCCTGCCGGCTCTCTTGGTCGTGCGGCGAACGGGGACGGCCTTCGCTGGTCGGTCACCGGAACTAGCCAGCGAGGACGATGAGACGGAGTGCGCATGGATTACAAGGGGCGGCTGGTCTGGGATTGAGGACAGGATGAGCTGCGCCTGCTCCAGCTCCCACTGGGACGCTGCAGCGTGGTCCAGCTGAGGCGGTACCGACAACGCACCCAATGAAAGCTCGCCTGTTCCAGGCTGCTCTTTGGGTGGATGTATCACACTGCTGTTGGTTTCTTGTTGATTGGAAACGGTGTTGGTGGATAGGCTTACGTTAGCCCCGGTAGTGTCCAGATGTTTGCCTGAATTTACTAGGGACGTCGATTGCTGTGGGGCAAGTTCGTCTTTATGATCAGGTGTGTTTGCTTTTTCCATCACGGTGTCCAGCGGACACGGGTGTTCGCGAACACTGTGCTTGCTGCTCGTGTTTGCTGTGGCGTCATTGGCCGTACCTTTGCTAGCATCCATTATCTCTCCTGTTCCTATACTGCCCCTGTTTGCTGTTGTGTCATTGGTACCATCCTTGCTCTCTGCTACTCCTGCGCTGCTTGTGTTTGCCGACTCGTCAGGCGACTCATTTTCGTCAGACCACTTCCGGTGCCGACGGCGCACGTAGCGTGCAGCCGCACCTCCGCCGCGTTTGCCCTTGTGATGCCATCGCGGTGCTTGGGAGGTGGTGGCCGTAGCCGTCGTCGTCATGGCCGTAGAACTACTACCGTGTCTGTCGGTAGCCGTGGTGTCATCACCGTCTTCGCCGGCAGCGCTCGTTGAGACCAGACTGCGTTGTCTGTTTGCTGCCATTTCGCCGGTTCCGTCCATCGATGCAAGTTGTGTTGAAGCCGTTCGGGGATGGTCATCGATGCCATCCGTACTCTCCGTGATGTTACGTGTTTCAGCTTCAGCACCGTCTGGCTCTGTTGGTTTCAATTGTGCCTGTTGTGTCGCTATTCCAGTTGTGTTCGCCACAACACTTGCAGGTGATTTCGTGCTCTGGTCCATCACTTCGTGCAGAGAACTGCCGCTTGCTTCAGGGGATTGTGCGCCGCTCGGTGAACTTTCCCTACTCTGCGCACGACTTACAGCCACCTCGACATCATTGATGTCGATCAGCGATGTCGTGTTCGTGGCCTCGGGCTTTTCCGGATCTCCTGTCGGTGGAGGTGTGCTGATGAGTTTTGTTGTGGATGACGAAGCGATCTCTTGCTCATGGCCGCCGTGTGTTATGTGAGGTAGCTTGCCACCGGCGATGGCAGTGTGTACGTCTTGATCTGTCCTGCCTGCACCTTCCTGGGTACAGGGTGCACTGCTGTCGTGTGGGTCAGGTGCACTGTCCGCTAGTAGTTGGGTGTCTGACTGATGCTTGTTCTCGTCAGCGCCATGTCCTGCAAGGCCGGGGTTATCGTCATCGTGTTTGTCAATAGCCTGATCACGAGCAAGCACACATGCTTCACCAGCAGTGCCGTTGCCGAACACGCTCTGCGCGAGCTCCGCTTTCTGCCGCTGCCTGCGCTCTTGTGCCTCCTGCAGCATGGCTAAGCGTGTACTGGAACTTACGGACATTGATAGACTCGACGGCGGTGAGGTCATCAAGTTTCGTGTCGTCATTGACGATGAGCCAGCGCCGCTTCGATTAGCGGACGAGGACATGTTGGAGCCTCCAAACACGCTATCGCTGCCGCAGCTGCCATCCAAGCGGAAGCCGTCCTCGAGCTTTGGCGAACGTAGCACGTCCACTACGATGGATTCGTGCCGGTACTGCGCCGTGGAGTTGCACGTACTGGCCTCGCTGCTGTGCCCGGCCGACGCCAGGCCAAACGCCTCGGCAAAGCTGTCGAACGGGTTGTCCACGATGGTCTCGTGCATCTGCACAAACAGCGGTATGTACGCCATGTAGTCCAGGAAGGAGATCTGAGGAGGCCATACAGACAAACACATACAGGTATGAGTGTATGTGTGTATGTGTGTGTGTTTATGTATGTGTGTATGTGTGCGCATACACACACACACATACACACATGAACACAGGCACAGACATGCATCCGCACACAAACAAACGCGCACACACACGCACAAGCATACACAGAAGCGCACAGGTTCACTTAACGTTTGATAGGTACTTCTATCACCAGAGAAGAAAGAACAAAATGGAAAGGAGAGGGAGAGAGATTATAGTGAAATAAACAAAGCAGGCCATGCTTGGCAAGATAGCATGAAGATACTCATGCGGCTGTTGTTATCTCACCCTTTAATACTCAGTTTTCATCACACTTGAAGTACACATGTCGTCTAGCCCAAAGGACGAACTATTTCTCTACTCTACGCTCCTCGCCACACCACACAACAAAGGACTAGTACAGATTGAGAGAGAGCTTTTTCCTAGGCTCATACACATCACACACTTACCGTTCCTAGGCTCATACACATCACACACTTACCGTTCCTAGGCACATACACATCACACACTTACCGTTCCTAGGCTCATACACATCACACACTTACCGTTCCTAGGTTCATACACAACACACACTTACCGTTCCTAGGTTCTCATCGTCACACTGCTGCACTATGTGATTCTCCATCTCCCGTGGCAGGCCGCCTGCCTTCAGTTCTATTCGAAGATCGTCAGCGTTGATTGTACGGCCTGATGCGCCATCACTACTGCCAATAAACAATTGCTGTACATCCAGAACAGGAAAGAAGTTGGGAAACAGCGTACGATCATACACATCATCATCAGGAAAACATTAGCAGGTGGCAGAACTCCAAGGAGTGCTCTTTGACAAATCCCCGCAGCGCAAAGATTGTCCATGCTGCCGGAACTGACCTTGTAAAACGACATCTTCTTCTCGATGCTGGCAAGGTTTAGTCCGTCCAGAAACATCCGTGTGTCTTTGCTGCAGCGGGAGGCAGCAGGCATATACAGTCAAACCTGTCAAGGTGACCACCTGTCCAAGAAGACCACTGCAACCAGCACCAAAGAATGCTATTTCCAGTCAAATGACCCTGGATAAGGAGACCACCTGGTAATAAAGACCACGTTTTGAAGGTCCCTTGAGCGGTCGTCTTAGACAGGTTCCACTGTAGACGAGTGCACAGAAACACATGCTCATGAATCCACCTGGATCATCGGACTAGCAGGATTCATATCACATCCACTGACATTATGTCATCACCATTGATTGTGGTCACCGGGCAATTCTAGCTGGCCAGGTGTGTGTGGGTCGGGGGGGGGGGGGGGGCACATCCAGGCATAACCGCAGGACCTACGGAAGCAGTTTCGATTGGTCCAGCCAAACCATAGCCCTTTCACACACACATGTATAACCTCCTCAGCAGTAAACATGTATTGTCGGCCAACAAGTTGTCCAGGTGATGACCTGACCAACCAGACCGGTTCCGGCGGTTCTGAGCGGAATGCTACAACTTACTCTAGCGTCCCGATGCGTTCACACAGCGCGGCGACAACAGCAAACATCTTGAAGTTGATACACGGATCACATTCCAGTACCTGCGACAACGTGAGAAGACGTGCACGAACGAAGGACACAATCTATACTTTAGTATGACGAGTTCGTGTGTGTGTGTGTGTGTGTGTGCGTGTGTGTGTGTGTGTGTGTGTGTCAGGCGACACAGCCTTGGCTACGCTATGTGCATAGTCATGGCTTCTTCAGAGCTGATCTCCAGGCCAAACTGAAGTACTCTAATTTCAGAAATTTTCAGTCCTCAATATTTTCGGTATGAGGGCAAAAGGCCAGGTTAGGTGAACAGAAATTTTAGGTACAGAGAAGCAGTTCCCTATTGGATTATGTGTGTTAGTGTTTGTTCGGTGTATTGAAATTTTACGTATGAAACAGATGCACCGAAAGTTCCGAAAATAAAAGTACACCGAAAATTTGTGAAACTACAGTATTTTGCTCTGGTAGACAGACACGTCTGGTTGGCAAGTTATTAGTCGCAAACCCGGGCCTTAGACAATGCTCATTGCATTCTTGAAGAGCATACGCTACAGCAATGAATCAGCCATAATGGCATAAATAGACTGGTCTCTCAATACAGGTGGTCTTTCTACTCAGGTCAGACTGTATGTTGGTGCATGGTCTGGGTCCTGAGATGAGTGTTCTGAGGGCTGTGTCAATTTGCAATGATTCATAATGAAAGATTCATACCTTGAGCACATACTCCAGCTGTTGAGGTGATATGTGTGCAATGGTGTAGAGACTTTCCAGTGCGGCTCGTAATTGCTGTTTGAGTGTAGCAAACAGGAAGAACAATGATTGCATGCACCCACAAATGTGCACACGTGAGCATGCGCACGATTGCTTCTAAAATGGACCGCACCCCAAACACATAACACATAACGTACGCATGTAGGTTCAGTCTTAGCACACAACCATGTACGTACAGATACATACACAGTATGGGATATGGGAATATGCTTCCATCAATGGTCATGTCTTGAGGCAGGCCTTATTCTGCTCACGGCAAGCAGAATTCTTGAGTTCAATTCTCACCTCCTCATTCAATATTCCATCTTCGTCCGTGTCTTCCACCGCAAACGCCTTCGCATACAGCTCCAGCTTTGCATCTTCGACGATGCAGAACTGAGCCAGCTGGTCAAACCCAGAGCCTGGGAAGAAAGTGAGAGTGAATTAAGACATTCACAGAGTATTCGTTGGGTTGTGAATTAGCTTGATGGCAAACAATTGCATCCCTACACATCAACATCCACGATTGATTTCTCCAGTATCTGCATAACTAGTACATTAGATCCTCCAATCATGAGGCAATCTTGCCGGCAGGGACGTTTTCAAATGGAATTTTGCAATGGATGCTGGAGCAGAGATGGGAGCGAGATGCATGCACTGTGAACCAAGGGAGTTGTGACATGTTCAGTATCCCGAGAGACAGAGAAAGAGTGTGTGTGGATGGGGGGGGGGGGGGGGGGGCTATTGCTCCGGCCCTGCACTATCCGTCCACTCTCCAGCCTTTTCAACTAGGTACTATGGTATCTGTGTCCAAACATGCGTTTTCACGTTTCCGGGTGCATTTGTTCCCCCCCCCCCCTCCATCGTTGTCTATGCACACATGTCCACAGAGAGTGGGAAAACCAGCCAGACCTAACAAAAAAACGGTGTTGGTAAGCTCCTCATGCAAAGACAGGTGATATGCTCAGGGAGGAGAGTGGGCAATAGGTCCCTGGGCAGAGAGTGGGGGATAGGTCCCTGGGCAGAGAGTGGGGGATAGGTCCCCGGGCAGAGAGTGGGGGATTGGCCCCTGGGCAGAGAGCAGTGATTTACCTCGGGTGGAGAATGGTGATACGCCCTGATTGGGCTCAACAGAATGTTCTGAGCTCCTAGTAAAGTTAAGTGGAGTGGTGAATATACGACTTCCACACCCTTGAGGGATGGGGGGGGGGGGGTGGGGGTAGTATTACATGTACATGTATCATTACTGGCGTTGGTCTTACCTCTTCTATACTCTATTCCATACTGATGTCCCAGCTCTCGCTTGGCAAACCTACACATACCACAACGTCGATAAGCAGCAACAAAGCAACCAGTCAGTAAGCAGCCACAATGAAACACAACCACAGCAAGCAGTCATGTAATAATATCAACTGGGAGCACACTCTGCCTCGGTGTACCTGTTGACTAGACCATTCCAAAAGGGACGAGTTAAAGGGGAAGTTAAGGCAAAAATCAAAATTTTACCAGTTGTAGTCTTCGGGGTGCTGAGTCGAATGGTCTTGGTCCGAGAAAGCTGAGACGCTCCCTTCCTACTTGAATCCCAATCGAACTCGCGCACTTCCACCGAAACTGGGTGACTGCGCCCTACTAGATGGGGATTTGTATGCAAAATGTCACTAAAAGCGCCGTTTCGTTCTTATAAAAGCACGGATGACCGCGATTGGCCCATATGTTGTAGTCTTTTGGACGTTGAGTCGACTGGTTTTGGTCCGAAAAGGCTGCGATGCAGCGTTCCTCCTTTATTCCCAATCGAACATGGTTGAAGAAGTGGTCACGTGCTCCTGCGTACACCAGTCAGCTGGTCACCATGCCTGCAGGGTACAACTTACTAGCCTGTTTGACCTTTTTTGGGTGCAGTCCTGTCACTCGAGTTGAACTCGAGTTGAACCTTGGTGTGAAAGTTGTCGCCTGCTGGCGTGGTGACCAGGTGATTTGGGCACCCAGGAGCACGTGACCACTTGTTCAACCATGTTCGATTGGGAATAAAGGAGGAACGCTGCATCGCAGCCTTTTCGGACCAAAACCAGTCGACTCAGCGTCCAAAAGACTACAACATATGGGCCAATCGCGGTCATCCGTGCTTTTATAAGAACGAAATGACGCTTTTAGTGACATTTTGCATACAAATCCCCATCTAGTAGGGCGCAGTCACCCAGTTTCGGTGGAAGTGCGCGAGTTCGATTGGGATTCAAGTAGGAAGGGAGCGTCTCAGCTTTCTCGGACCAAGACCATTCGACTCAGCACCCCGAAGACTACAACTGGTGAAATTTTGATTTTTGCCTTAACTTCCCCTTTAACAATAAACCATAGTGTAGTGTTTACCGTCTGCTTCTGGACTAGTGGCTTTGTATTGTATTGTATTGTATTGTATTTTATTGTATTTTATTCGGTATCTCAACAGTACAATGTACAACTTGGGAAGATCCAACTCGGATGGTGAGCCAATTAAATTATGGTGAAAAAAGGAGAAGGAAAAGGACAGTTGGTCATAACTTGTAACCTTTTTTCCTTCTCCCTTTTTGAGAAGATCCAAATGACAATATACATAAACATAAAAGTGGGATATGAATGTACTGTTATAGGTGCTACAGCTAATCATTAATTTTTATCGCAAGTTGTGGGACTAAACTAATATGCTTCGCATTTTGGTCATGTGACTACATTTGTGTAGAAAGTGATCATGTCATGTGACCAGTGGAACCAACATGGCCAACATCACGTGATCCATAGATGTACAGATGTACTGGTGTTGAAAGCGACATGGCTGCCCTGTGTGATCATGTGATAGGCGTGAAACAGCTGTATACAGGGTCATCATCATTACAGAGTGTTCCGTGAGCCTCTGCACAGGGATGAGAAACAATCGTCCGTACCTCATGAGCTGCTTGAAGCGCTGTTCCATCTTCTCCTTGCCGCGACGCTGAATTGCCTCCTTCATCTTCTGCTCGCTGCGTGCTGATGACAGCAACCCATGATGGACACAAAACAAGTCGATGCAACACGACCGCACACGATTGGCAAGCACTGTATTTCCACGAATATAAGTTGCACCTTTTTTCGCTTAACTTCAAGGGCAAAGAAAGGGATTCAACTTGTAATCCAGCGTGACATCCTACTTACATGTATGGGAATATATTGTTGAAAGTTTGAAACAATAGAGGCCAGACCTGAAAATGGGAGTGTGTGTGTGTCATATTATAATCGAGGACGAGTAATACAGCGTGACACAGGGAAATGAAACGTACACGTTTTGTGCTCAACCTGGCACGGACCTCGTGAATTCCAGATCGTGTTTCCATGCCAACAGCTATTGGAGATCCTGCGTGCTTTCACGGTCCCTTATAGTTTTCAGGTGCTGGGAGATGAGTGTGGCTAGCATGCTCATACATTGTCTGGGTTTGAGGTCTCGTAAACGCGTTGTATAAGCGTTCATCAGTTGGACAGAGTCAGAATGCAAAAGGAGTAGACGGCGATATCGATACAAGGGCGTGCACATGCATCGTCATGCAAAGGCTGCTTGACCTGGAGGTTTGTCTTATACAGTGTGCTACTGTCTGGTGAGAAAGACTGGGGATTCAGAGTTGTAGCCTACATGCAGGCCGCTGCTACTCTTATCTTTCATGTAGAAACCTGTAGATAATTGAGACCCCCGGCACCATGTACCTGTACAGTCATGTACATGTACATACGGGTATTCTGCACTTGGTAAACTCTGGCCTGCTAGTTCTTCAGCGCATCATCCTGTGGCGCCCACCAGTACTATGCTTGCTTGGTTGCCGGGTGTGAGCAGCCTTCACTAATACTGTAAACTACCTAATGTTCGCGGTGTATTTAGTAATGTTCACTCTTTTTGCGAGAAGAGCGTAACACGAATATTCACCATCATGACATTAAACTTCAACAGTGGATGTACGCGTGCGGTCACAGTGCTTCGCGAACCGTGATTTGCCATCGTAAACTCGCTGGTTATGAGAAGTCGTGGGTATTTAGTGACGCGAATGTTGCGCCGTTTACAGTACACACGTTTCACTAATATTAGCCCTGGCAACCCGTGGCCTACCTTTCTGCAGTGAGGGTGGTATGGGTGATTCATTCATCGGCATGTCAGCGAGTGGTAGCCGTCCAGCCGCTTCCTCCAGCTTCTTGCTATATTTGGTCTTCTCCATTCCGGGGATCTGTGGCACGTACTGCACGCGGGGTTTCCCCTTCTCCCTCATGCGGAATGTGTCCTGCAGCAGTGAGGTGACAGGAGCGGAATACGATAAAAAAATATGAACAGAGGCAAACACACAAATGAGTACAGTGGGATACCGTAATGTCGCGTGTTAAAGCCGGGCCTATTCCTGCAGAAGCCAATGTCAGGGCTAGGCTTCTATTCACATCAGGCTTCTATTCAAACCAGGTTTGTCTATGTGTGTCAACACTAAAACAGGCTTATGTGCCGACAGTGTATCTTGAAAGTCAGGCTTGTATTCAAAACAGGCTTCTATTCAAAACAGGCTTCTATTCGAAATAGGCTTTAATACAAGACACTACGGTATTCCAGGACGTTGGCATGTGTTCATTCACCACACGGTGAGATGCTCCGTTCAGCACCCTGAATTCCTGATGACACTCATTGCGTTGGAGAATCTGTGAATGGATGCGCCAGTGTTGTTGGTGATGGCGTTGGCGCTGGTGGTGGTGGTGGGGGGGGGGGGGGAGGAGGAGGGGAGGTGTTAATCACTGGGAACAGATTCCTAAAACTATACCGTGACTGAGGTTTCCTAGAGGTATTGGAGGCCACTGCATGCCTGGCTACAAGCGCCCCTACATCACCATCACCTACATGCTTAGTCAGAGCGACTAACTCACTCACCGCGTGTTTAACCCTGTGGTTGTCCTGCACAAGCAACGCAGCAAGTGAGGATAGCGTTTTCTGTTTCTCCAGCTGCTCGTCTCTCTTCTTCGCCTCCTGCGCAGAAAGAAATACCACAGCAACAGTCTTTATTACAGCAAGATGAAAGGGTGAAGAACACGGTGGAGGGATGATATCCTTAACTGGGCTCTTGGTGGCAAAGCTTTGAAATCCCCCCGTTCCTGGACCCCGATATCCATCCTCTGCTTCCACATACGGTCATGAGACATTATACTCGCTATGACCCTCCCATCCTCTTCCCTGCACCCCCCTCCCCCCTAACCCTCTCTTCTCCTTCCTTTCACCCCCCCCCCCCCACCACCACCCCAGGAGGCGGCACCCATACTATAACATGGCCTAGTTGGAGAACTTACCTGTTCTTTCGACTTCTTGGCGGGCGCCTTCAGCTTGGTAAGTGCGGGCTGCCTGGGTCGTTTGGTCACTTTCACCACGTCCTTGACTTCGACGACGGATGGCTGCTTCTCGTACTTGAGCACCTGCGGGTTCTGCGCCATGAGGTCATCCTCGGCGAGGCCACGAGAGCGAATGTCGCGGGCGCGAATCGTGGCGATGGTCGATGACGTCGGAGAGGGGCCGGATGAGCTGGACGGGAAGCGACTTCTGGACACGTTGCTGCTCATCATCTTCTTGAGTTGCTGTTGTTGCTGCTGCTGCTGTTTGGACTTCTTCTGTGAGACGGGGACGGTGCTGGCGGCTTGCCTCTTCTTGCCGCCCTTGCCCTCGGCCTTGCGTCCTGATTGGCCAGTCTGTGGGTATCATGGAAACAGAATTCCAAACACGATGTTCAGCGTGTGAAATGTACACGAGATGTCAGCACACAAGTGCTGCCTATAAACCTGTTTTAAGTGAAAAAGCGTTGATTGAAAGCAAGATTACTATCTTTTGCTATAGGCACATTAAACAGAACACTTTCCCAACAAGCACTGGACTTCTCCATATGGTGCCTCATAAACCGACCAAATCCATACTTGGCAGTCAGGTGAATACCAAAGTAACATATGATGGTAAAAAACTATCATACGGTGGACAAAGCCAATGAACAGGTGCCAGAAGGACCCATTTACTTAGAAGTCTTGGCCATCAAACTGTGTGCCACTGTGAGCGCCTTTCGAAACAATCATTATAAGCACAGTCTACCATTTATTTCTTCTTGCTTGGTATATCAATGTTGCATTTCCGTAAGAGGTTCCTCGGGCATGCCTACCTGCGGTTCACGGCCTACGGTTATACCGCCGCCGTCACGACCGCTGCTGAAATCCGCCGCCTTGCTGTTAACGGCCAAGTCTCCACCGGACAGGCCTTTCGCGGCCGCTGTGCTTGCAGCCCCTACCGCTGCTGCTGTCGTAGTGCCTGTGGAGGATGCCGCCGACGTGGTGGAGGTGCTGAGCTTCTTGACATTCCCTCCTCGGCTGCTTGCCTTCACCTTACTGCCACTCCGAGACCTGGAGGTAACCGTTCAAAAGAAGCAGAATACGCACAGCAAATGGCTTGTTTGGAAGCGGATGACATCCATGCTGGGAACAGCAACTCAAACTGATGGAGAGGCCACCGATTACAGTACCGTCAGTTGCCGAAGAACTGGGGGGGGGGGGGGGGGGGGGATGGTCAGCCTTGTAGCCAAGACCGTTCTTTATTTTACGTACTACAGTCTATGCACCGTTCAGTCACCGTGTATACATTGGTATGCTGTGCTTGATGAAATCCTAGCCTGTTTGTTCTTCGGCGCTGTATGTTCTCCGGCACCTGACAGTACTGTACGTACGGCGACAAAACAAATCAGTGTGTACCCTGATTCCAGGGCACGTCATGAACCGGCCGTGCTATGCCTGTTTTAATACCACGCGATGTGTCGACTGAGCAGTTGCAATGCAGGGAAAGTAGGGACTTAGACACGTATGAGGCTACAGGTTAACCTTAATAGTCACTAATACAATGCATACCACATGCGATAGTTTCATGCAAATACATACCGGTCTTCAGAACTTGCTTTGCTGCCGGCCTTTCCTGTTTTCTGGAACCACGACATGCAAAAGAGACACATAAACACAAACACTTAAGTCATATCACAGCTTTTCCTCACGGTAGCAGGCTTCAGTGCACGGCGTACATAGCAAAGGTAGTTGTGATGCTTCTGGTTTCATGTAGATCAGGGTGGAGTAGGGTACAGGAAGCTGTCACAAAAACATAATGCAATGTGCCCAAAACGGTGTATGCTTCAACCCCGGAGTTGGAAGATCTAGGTGATCCGTGGTCTATTCACTCGCAATTACGATCGCGGCCTTGACCGGCTGACCCCAAGCACGGCCAAGACAAGCGATGCCGTACGCTAGTGTGTATAAACAAACCCTTCCGGTGACCGTAACGAGTAGCCCGGGGTGACGAAAACCATATTCTTTTCGCCTTATAGTGTTGCCCGTGTTGTCTCTCCCTGTACCCCCCCCCCCCCCCCGCCCCCCCCCCCCCCCCCCACACACACACACATGCACACACAGTAACATATACACAGCACATACCTTTTTCTCTGCTGATCCAGTGTCGTTCGTGCCCAATTTCTGGGAGGAGCTCTCAGCTACTGCCGGCGTCATACCACTCTCTGCTAGTTGAGCAGAATCGGCTGCAGCATGTTCCGGTACCGGTGGAAGCCGAGATGTTTGCTTTGCCCGAGCACCTTTCTTTGCTTTGCCAGCTTTCTTCGTTGCTGCACCTGTCTTGTCTGCGTTGGCTGATTTGCTTGGTGCGAGTGGGTCGGCTGATTCCGTGCTTGGCAGCGCAGTCTCCTCCCTCTGCCTCTTCTCTTCACGTACCTTTCGCTTTTTCTGCAGCTCTGCCTTCTGTTTCAGCCGTGCCTCCAGCAGCTTCTTCATGTTCTTCATGGCGCTGTTGTCTTCGTCGCTACTGGCCTTTCCCGTGCCCACGCGTGACATGGTTTTGTCGTCGTCCTCGCTGCTAGTCTCGGAGGCATCATCCGGCGGCGCTTTCTTCTCAGCGGCAGCGGCGCTCTTAGGATTGCGTTGCCGTCGACGACGGGGTGCTGGCTCGCGTTTGCACGTCTCTCTGCCCCGGTGCTTCTTGTGCTTCGACGTCTCCTTGCTCGGTATCAGTGAACCCTGGATGCCACCGGCGATGTCTTCATGGTTGTCGTCGTCTTGTTCGTGGATTTGCTGCAGACGTGCAGATGGCAGGGCGCCGTCCTGACAATCCGTCGGCTTCATCAGAGTGAGGTCGGTGAACGGTGACATGAGACCGGCACGCGAGGCGACTGGCATCGGCCGGTCAGCCCGCTTACCCGGCTGCTTTCTAGAGCCACCGGTCCCGGCCGCCGTCTTGGTGCTGTAGATGCTCTTCAACTGACTCTCCTTCGCCTTGAGGCGTGCCTCTCGCCTCGCAGTGGCTCGCGGGTGCGCCGACGCCTGCTTCTTCCGCTTGGCTTTGGACTTGTTGGTGGAGGGCTTTGCGGCGCGTTTCACAGTCAAGCCGGCGGTCGAGGCATCCTTTTCTAGCGCTGGTACTCCTTGTGTTGGCTCCACTGTAGGCATGTGGTCCATGCTAGAATCTGCAGAACATCATGGGGGGGGGGGGGAGGACATAACAGCCAGTATCTCAGGTTAGGGCAATTTAATGCAGGTACAGGTCATGGTGTAACTGCCTGGAATTGCCATCCTGCAGTAAAACATTCTAAACGTTTCTGTACGTCTCAACACTGCAGCGCAATCTTGTCAAGCAATTGTATTGTAGAACGTATACACGACATGAGGACGGTGGAACCAATATGGTTGACGTAAATGTGACTCGTTCGTGCAGTAGGTGACTAGAGTTGAGATCAACATGGCTGACGTCAATGTGACTCATTGGTGCGGTGGGTGACTGGAGTTAGGATCAACATGGGCGACGTCATGTGACCAATGGATGCAGGGATTTTCTGGAGTTAGAATCAACAGGACTTGTATGGTCTGCATGTGCTGCATGTCCAAACCTCTATTGTAAGTCTACACGTTTTGCAGCGCATAAAAAAATTAAAACGTCAGCTTCCATGAACTAAAATCCTTTTCGGCCGTTTTAAATCTCTGCCCGTGTGGCTCTCGACTGTATTATGGTCATTAGGGGTGAAACGATTAGTTCGAATATTCGAGTGTTCGTTCGAAAATCTCAAACGAGCGAGTATTCGAAATTTCGCACTCGATTTTTTTTTTTTTTTTTAGTACTGGCATTCTATTTTCAAAAACTTCTGTTGCACTGCTCATCGACTGGTGTGCATGCATTATTCGTGCCTTTGAGTCAGTATTTTATGACTTGGAAGATGCAAGTAAGGTTATTTTGTTTTGAGATAATGAAAGTACTGGTGAAAATCGTTACTTTACACTCTGTACAAGAGGTTGGCGACTTTTGTGCTACGCTCACAGATAATTTCTTCTGAATTGGTCGAGAACTCACAAATCTAGCGTTTTTGAATTTCGATAAAATACTCGAAATAATCGGATACTCGATCGAACATTATGAATGAGTGATCGATTGGTCAAAATGGATACTCGTTTCACCCCTAATGGTCATACTATATCGTGCATATAAAAATGTCTGCCACAGCTAAATTTAGGCCTCAAAGTGCGAAGCCGAAAGTAGCCAAAACGTATCCGCCAAATATTTGTCGATTTACAGTATTGCATACCCAGTGGTAAAGGAGATACAAAGAACGTGTTCTATTTTGAAGTACGTTGTCACAAAACACGCCAATGTATACCTGCTTCGCCTTCTTTGACTTCAGGCTCTACATCCGATACCTCCGACTGCGATGAGTCCTCATCCGCCGATGAGGAAGAAGATGAGGATGATGACGCGCTGGATGGCATGTCCCTGGGTATGTAGTCTCCTGGACGAACACCACATTACATTGCACAGCAACGCATTACACAGCAAGACAGCACGCAGCAAAACATGATGCAGCAAAACATTTCATAGCAAGACAGTACGCAGCAAAACATTATGCAGCAAAACATTTCATAGCAAGAAATTGCAGCAAAACATCACAGCAAAACATTACGCAGCAAGACATTAAGCAGCAAGACATTATGCAGTAAAACATTATGCAGCAAGACATTATGCAGCGAGACATAATGCAGCAAAACGTTATGCAGCAAAACGTTATGCAGCAAGACATTACGCAGCAAAACATTAGAGGGCAATACACTACATATCAAGACATGCCGGGAGAAAGCTGGG